AAAAAAAAAAAAGCAAAGTAAACGTCATTGTAAATTAACATTTTCATGCAAACGCACGTTTAGATGCTTACGATAATAGAAGGTATAATTATTATGTGTAGGCGAGTGCGTATACGTATACATGCGAGTGGCGTTACGGATGAGAAAATTTATATAAAAAAAAAAAAAAAAAAAATGCACTTTCGCTCAACTTTTACAGCACCACGGCAAATGTATATTATGTTGTAGACACTCGTTAATTGTATCGATTTACGTACATACAACAGGCAACATAAATACGTTGTAAATTTAGTTGGCAGCCAGTCGTGTAGTTTAGCTTTGGTTAAACTGTGTACGCGCCGACTTATGTGGGTCAGTTGAAAAACATGTTCTCGCGATAAAATAACCGAAAAGACAAAAAACAAAGAGTAGATAGCTGTCGCGTGTCGCTCCCGAGTGCTTATGAATTGTATATACATCTATACGTATAAATAAAGGGATTTTCCCGAGTTGAGACGATTCATTGTATTTTTCTTCGCAACGTGATTTTATTGTCGGAGCAACTGCACTTTACAGTGATTTGATGTACGTATATATACGGTGTCCGCGATGCGCTGAACCTTAATACTATTGAGATCTAGCTGGAGCATCGCGGTGAAAAAAAAGAAAGAAAAAAAAAAATACGTACTAAAAAATGCTGAAGCAACTTTGCCCTAGGTGTACGTCTTTCGTGGAATGATTATACGGATAATAATCCGAGTGACTGTGAACGAGGGGTTTTTACTACTGAAACGGTAGCCGTAACAGCTTCCAGCGCAGTGTTTTTCCTATACTGAAAATAAAACAATATTCCACCGTGTCTTTGTTGCTGGTGTTCTTTCTCACTAAAACAAAATCACAAAAAGTAAAATCTTACGGCTTTGGTGGTAAAACACCATGTTTATGCTGGTTATTGGGTTAACTGTTACAATTAACCCAGCAGAGGGGTCTCGGTATTTTTAAAACTTACTTAACTGTTTTGAATTCGTAACCGTCTACAAACATTTTTACATGCTGAATCCTGATGCATTAAAAAAAAAAAAAAAAAAAAAAAAAAATTCAATTGTTCTTATTTCGAACACTACATAGGTATACCGGTGCAGTATTTTGAGCTTTCTTATAGTTCTGATTTCCGAAGGAACCAAAAGGAAAGGCTCCCGCGAGCCAAGTTGAACATACACGGCTATATGGTAGTGATAGCATTTGATATACGCAAGAATAGAAAGATCGTCCGCAGCGTCGCCAATTACACAAAGAGCTGTTGTTGGGGGAGCAGCTGTTTTTCCAGGTAATTAGCAATCGCAACGGGAGCCGGTTGCACAGACGAACGTTATTAACTGTAAATTGCGCGGCTCGCGATTTTCGTGCTCGGTCTAGCTTCCTCTCTGGCTCCTCGTGACGGATACATATATACATATGGGCTTTGAAATTAAAAGTGCTAAGGTTTAATTTATACATATATATATGTATGTAGGTATGTATACCTATAGCTGGGCAATAACCCACTGTTTACGCGTTAGTTAAGTAAGTGTACAAAGTAGCGACTACACGGTGGCAAAATCTACGACGGTAAAGCGCTTCATTAGCGTGTCGAAAGCAACGATTAATTTTTATCAACACAATGTAAGCGCGTCCCTCGTCATGATATTGCGTTTGTATTATACGATGATATTAATTTTAAAACAAAGTAGGTACACCCAAGGAGAGTCGCGTATACCAATTAAACAATTTTTTATTTTAGATGTCGATTTCTCAATTGTTTTAATCATCGTATACTCCGGATATATAGGCATTGGGTTGTTGCACCGAGAAATGAGAAAAGGGAAGGATCAAGATCTGCGCTAATTGCCATACACAGCTCGCCGTAGGCGCGGCTGGAGCCGATGCTGACGACTTTTCCCGCGAGCTTCCCTAGTTCACCTTATCCCCGATGCCGTTTTCTTTTCCTTCCGCGTTTCGAGAGTACACGTACCTGTATACACACATATCCACACATCTGCAGCAGTTGCCCCTATATACTGCACACACCATAATATTTACGCCTTATGATGGGAACACTACATGTATAGGTATACGTGGGTGAGTGTGGCTGTGTATACATTTATATTGTACAGCACACGCGACTGCACAGTTCGCGAAGCGATTACTCGGATATTACGTGCGCGCTCGCGACGGCACGTGCATATATACGTGTGTGTATAAGCACTTATGGTAGGTTATATAGTGTATAGTAGTAGTAGGCGGTGCAAGCGGGCGAATGACGATAGCAGCCGCGATGACTTTCACCCGTAGAGATAAGGCATCTTTTCCCCGTAACGATTTATTTTTTTCTTTCTTTTTCCGGCTCCACCTCCTTTGACTCGAGCTCGCGTGCAGCGAGAACACAAAACGAGAGTGCGCATCGGGTAAGTATATAAGTAAGCGATCCGTTGATATCATAATTCGCGTGGCTCTGCTTCCCCTCGATGCTCCCGAATATAATATTTTTCCCCCGTAGTTTACGTATCGGTGTTACGAACGCGGAACAATCGAACGCCCGATTTGGCACCGGTGGTTACACGAGCGCACACTCACTTTGCCAGGGGTGTATCCAATTGAGTCTACGATTGTTGCCGATCACGATCGGTATATGTAATATGTATATCTGGATGATGCTGTCTAAGCGAGCGGGAGGCCGATTTATCGAGGCGATCTTTCGCGCTGACAGAAAGCGTGCTATCGTGTATGGACGAGAAAATCATCCGCGGGGGAAGGGGGCAGCCCGGGTGAAAGGTAAAAAGACACGGCTGCGTCGCCGTGCCAATTACGTAAGCCAGCGACTCGCGTGAAAAAAGTGTGTAGTATACAGAAGCGGAGAAGAAGGCATGGGTAAGTATAGAGAGGAAAGTCGCGAAATCCATCCGATTCTTTTTTTTTTTTTTTTTTTTTTNCCTATCCCTATATATATGTATACATCATCTTGGGTTGCAAGTGTGCGGGCTCCCACGAGCCAAACGTAAAAGCGGCCTCGCGGAATATAATGCCGCAGCAACTACTCTGTGCGCGCATATACTACATTCGTTCCTAGCGCGCTTATTATACCGTTATACCTTCGCTCCTGCTGCTGCTCTCGTTATTCCTCGCTACTACTTTACCACTACTAACACTAGTATTCCTACATGTAGCTGCTGCTTTCGTCGTCGTCGTCGTTGTTTCTATTTTGCTTACAGGCATATATAAGTAGGTGGGCTCATGCAGTGGCGTTACTGTTTTCTTTTTTTTTCCAGGCCAAGCGAGACGATCGGCGATTATATATATATATCCTGAAGGTCGGGAAGACAATATGATAATGATGAAGCCATTAGGTGTACTCACCGGACGACGAGTCCCGAGTGGGCCTTGTGGGCCTGGGGCCGAGGGGATGGTTGTTGTTGTTGTTGGTGGCACCACCGTGCCCCGGGTAAGGCGGTGGGGTGGCGGCACTGTCGGAGCCGATGCCGCTGCTGGCCGCGCTGCGGGTCCCCGGGCGCTCGACGATCGGCGTTATGAGGCCCTGATGGGACGAGAGCCCGTTCGAGCCGACGATCGTCTGGTTGAGGCAACGTCTCAGCTCTATACCCGCGAGATTGCCGCGCTGCCGGTGCACGGTGTCGTAGTCACGGGGCGGCAGGAGTATGGGCCCGCTGTCGCTATCCCCGTTGCCCCTGCCTGTAATATATTTATAGATGGGCTTACGTCAAATACAATATTATCTTGATCCCTATATATATATACATTGTCCTTTCTACATATATACCATATAGGTGTATTATATTTGTTCGTGCGCGCGAAATTTACCCTCGCGGGTTATTGTAATGCAACGTATCTTAGGTATATTGTTGTCGCGCTTGTAACATGTATAATATGCGGTACGCGGTGGCAGTCATATAACTGTACATCTATTTATATCTACCGATAAACCCACATTTGTACATGCCTGACATGTCATACATCCGCGGGGTGGGTATATTGCTACAGGAAAGTGTGTTGGTAGGATGTGAACAGATAACACGTATATATAGGTTATTTACCTATAAAGCACGCGTGTGTAGGTATAGGCAATGGTAAGTATATATATGCATACTCGTTTTTTTTTTTTTTTTCATACTTGCGTTTATAAATACGTAAAGTATTGCTCTTTCTCCACCGATGGAGATATTTGTTGCGATATGTTTATGCATACGTATACAAGTAGGATGTATATACATATAGGTACCTGTCGCATTGTCGCGTAACGTACACAGTCGTAACATTATTATCACCGACGCCTTATCCAAAGATTCCCATATGCCTCCGTATACCCAACATGAGAATATACATCAGTTGATAATATTTAAGTGTACGAGCTGAGCATCATGACAGTATTTTATGTAGGTCATATTAAGTACATGTATACGCGACATTATTTATGATTTGACATCTCACCCAATGCATTCGATTTTATCTTTGCACGATTAATTGTAATCTATACTATCTATTATTATTATCATCGCCATGCTTGCACGGGGGTGTCACGTGTATTATACATATGTAACATATACTAATAAAATGTAGCTAGTGCTAATTTTTGCGAGCAAGTACTTATAGGTAAATCCAATATATACACACTAATGACATATTCCTGAGCGAGAAAGTCGAGAACATTAGGTATGAATACCTGGTGTGCGCATATCTCACTAGTAATTATCGTGTATGGATATACCGAGATCTAAGTGCTCCACCTTTAGTATATGGATAGGGTAAACCGAAGCTCGCGTATAATATGTGGATGTACTTAACCCGGAAACCGCTGCGGATAAGATAATACACCCAATAATGGCCTTTCTCCGCGTGAGTAGTACAAGCATAAGCAGTGCAAACAACACAATGGCGTGTGTAATGTAAAAAAAAAAAAAAAAAATATGAAGCACGTGGGGCATGAGTAGCCTCGTGGGGTGCGTGGGTGCGACAACGATATACTGGAATGTTTGTTTGTCTCACCGAGTTTGGCGCGCAACTCGGCCGCCAGGGACTCGTAGATGCTGGTGGTCTGGATGGGCGCGTGCCTGAGCTCGCCGCTTCCCTCGGAGGACTCGCTCTCGCGGGTGCTGCGCCCGTCGCTGCCCAGGTTGCTGCGCAGCCTCGTGTCCAGCGAGTTCAGCCGCGCCAGGCTGTCCGACTGCGAGGCCAGCAACTTCAACTGGCCACCCAGCAGCTCGGCCGTCTCCACCGAGTCGCATCTGAAACAGATTTTTTTTTTTTTTTTTTTTTTTTTCAACTGCAACGGATACACCCAAGTATACTTGACGCGATTGATCTTCAGCCCGCGAGCGGAAGAGCTCGTTAAAACACGGGAAGTATAAGGAAATTTAAATGCTCCCACGGGTGCTTGGTACAGGTAAGTTGTACATGTATACATACCTACAGATGCGCGAAAAAAACCGGTGATTGGCCCGTCTCGGAAGGAAGGATCAAAATAATTCCTAATCATTAACCCCGCGACTATATGTATATGTACTCAATGTATTATATTGTAGGTGCGATCGGTGTCCATGAATTATCCGAAAAAATGGAGTCGCGTGTACCGTATATATTATTATTGGCCATTAGTATAAATTTTTGCGGTGAGGTATATAAAGGGGTAACGACCGCGTACCTACACGCGCCCCGTAAAGCTCACGTATATAATATGTATACTGTATGTATATACCCACGTTCTCGCGAGAACGCGCGATGAATGGGACACACCACCACCATACCCTATCCCTATATATATGTATACATCATCTTGGGTTGCAAGTGTGCGGGCTCCCACGAGCCAAACGTAAAAGCGGCCTCGCGGAATATAATGCCGCAGCAACTACTCTGTGCGCGCATATACTACATTCGTTCCTAGCGCGCTTATTATACCGTTATACCTTCGCTCCTGCTGCTGCTCTCGTTATTCCTCGCTACTACTTTACCACTACTAACACTAGTATTCCTACATGTAGCTGCTGCTTTCGTCGTCGTCGTCGTTGTTTCTATTTTGCTTACAGGCATATATAAGTAGGTGGGCTCATGCAGTGGCGTTACTGTTTTCTTTTTTTTTCCAGGCCAAGCGAGACGATCGGCGATACTCCATCACCCTCTGACCCAATGATGTCCCGTACTGATTGCTTTGACTTTTTTCAAATGTAATTTTTAAGAGCAGTTATTGGCACGGGTGTATAGGATCGACCGGCAACGGGTGTACCTATAAGAGGTCGGGGCTTACGGGCTTCGGACGAACAAAACTCCCAGGAGCCACGGATAAGAGAATATACTTTTGAATGGCCTCATCGCGTCGATGGAACAATAGTCGATGTGCACCCACCGTGGGATATATATAAATACTGTTCGCCGCTTACCTGTAGGCGTGCACGTGGACGGGATTGTTGCTCGCTGGGTTCGGCAGCAGGAGCGTCGCTGCGACCACGTCTTCCCTCTGGACCGCGGCCAGTAGCGCGTGACCCGGCACCAGGTGCTTCACCGCCGACCTCGTCGAGCCGCTCGGATGGACCGTCTGGATGATCTTTAGCCCTTTGCCGCTAACCTGCACAATCAGAGTACGTATAGGTAGATATCTTTTTTTTTTTTTCCTCTCATCTTCAAATTTTCTCTCTCTCTCTCTCAAATAAAAATAAATAAATGTCAACAAGAGCAAAGATTATCGATTGGACGGTAAGTATGTAGGTATCGTTGATCGCATCGGCGTAACCCGGTGTAGCTCCGAGGGTGAAAGGATAGATCGCGCCTTGGATCACGATTCTCCGTGGCTTCCCCGTTAAGTCACGACATTTGGGTCAAGCGGTGCAGCAAAATACCCCTCTCTTTGTCTATACGTAAGTATTTTATATGTATATATATGGCGGACTGCTAAAAGAGAAGCTACTGTCCCATGCCTACATTGTATATACTATATCTGAGGGGTTTTATTTTCGATGAATTATCGAGTTCCAGTGATTCTTAAACCAATGACTGTATAGGTATGAACACGAGAGAAATGAAGCAATTCGAATTGAGATTGGAACAAAAACATAAAACTTCATATCCATCGATCATGTATGCCTTTATGCCACGTAACTTTTTCTCTTGTTTTTGCAACATAACAGCAGCTCCCGACAAAATAAATGTTTGTATCGACGCGTATGCAAAGATCAAACTAATTATCGATGTATGTATGCCCGCGGGGCCACGTAACTTTCGCGCATCTAATCCGTATTGACTTTCAAATGTGTAAAGCACCGCCTTTTCTCGTCAAGGCTATATTTATATAAATGTGCCGTGGCTAAACGGATGCGTGTATATATACTTACATGGCAAAATTAATGTACAGTTGAAAAGAAAGTTGCCTCTTCCTCCTTTACGTAATGCCAACGGTGAAATATATATGATACACGTGGTATAATATGGAATAAACACGGCACATCTCTCCTTTGAGTCGATGATGAAAAATGAGGGTATGAAAAGCAGTAAGCACGGCAAAGGGAGATCATGGGATGGCTCGTTATGTTTTTATATTATTATATTGGCAATCGTAAAATTTTCACGCTGAATATTTTCTCTTCTGCCTCGCGCTCGAGCAGTACCTACACATATCAGGTAAACGCGGCCGTGTCATTAGAAAGCACGAATATCCCGAATTTCACTTATCGCGAAGAAACGAAGGATGTGCAGCCTGTACGTGGAAGGTTATTAAATTTACCTGAACCAACGTCAAACGCGACAAACGTGGAAATAAGAAGCCGATGTAATGCGGGAGGGATCGATGGAAATTTTATCCCCCGGCGAGGTGCGGTAAAAATACGCGGACTCGTAAATAAATGTTACTTTATATACGCAAGAAGAGGAGAACAATGCCTCGATAGGCTTGGCTATGGTGTTTATAGGAGTGCACGGGTACACTGTATGCAAACGTATAGCGTATATCGCTGATTGCCCTGCGTGTCAGCCAGAACGTTTGACGCACCGTGAAAGAGAATGTCCAACCGCGCGCACCCATGATGGTATGCGCGTTATATTGTGTATATATATATAGGCCCATGTTTACGCATTAGGTATGCTTATATTTATTGTGTGTACGTATACCACCTATGGGCCACAAGGGAGATAAACCGATGCACAACGAATTGTCGTTATATTATACGGTAGACAGGCTCGTGAATCTCGAGTAACAATATCTGCCCGCGGTATAACACACCTCTGTAGATAAGTATCGCCGCCACAGTATTGCCATTCGGGTATGTACATAATATGGGGACAATGTATAAAAAATTAATATATTGCTATTGTCCTTTTTGCACGCAACGAGGGGAAAAGTATAATTTTGCGTGTCTAGTATATGTATATATAAAATTTTAAAAAAATCACCATCGCGACCAGTAAATATTACGTTACATTTTAATTAGCTCTTATCTCTCTGTCGTTAGTAAGATATGGAGTTATGATATTCGAGAGTTCGAAGGGTTCAAAGATTTTCCTACCAGATATTACGATGGCCGTAACTGAGCGCTTCAAACATTTCCAAAAAGGAGTATTGGGTATATATATATACCTGTGGTGGAGGAAGCAGCAATAAGCTCAACATCGGCAACTCTCGGCACTTTGGCAGATAGTCACGTCGTGTCGTAGTGATACACACGCGCACACATTTTTTTTTTTTTTTTTTCATTTCCTCATACGTGTACCCCGTACACCCATGTACATGCGGAAACGACCGTTAGTTCGCATTGCATCGGGTAGGTATGTAAGTATATATATGTACAGGCTATGGCTCGACAAAACGCGACCGTATAGAATACCGTTCTCGGGCGTACTTTCGTATCTATACCCCTACATGGTATAGCAAAGCAATGCGTAAATATATATACTATACTAAAGCTGTACATGAATAATATGAGTAAATTATATTAGCGCTCTGTACTTATAATTAAGTATTCCTCAGGTGGCATCTTCCGCGCATGAAATCCTATGCCCCATTCCGTCCTCGGTGACAACAATCCTTTGTGTGGAGGTATTACACAAAAGACTTTGATTACTCGTAAATCACGCATGAATCCGAAGGTGATACTTTCACGTGTTTCCGCAATGTGAGTGAACGAGTGAGTACTTGGCAAAAAAAAAAAAAAACTTTTCACCAAAAAACATCAAACGAGGAGGATTGAAAATCGTTAAGCATCACCCTGCAACAGGTTTCACGAGGTTTTGCAACCTTAGTTGACTTTGTCACGTAGTGAAAAAAATATATTGCAAGCATCTATAATCTTATTCCCTCGTTGATAAGTAGTCACCCTTCCATTACGCATAGTGGAAAAGGAGTTTTATATATATAATTGCATTCTGCACTCGTATATCAATTTGTAGGTATAGGTGATGTACTATTTGTAGAATTTCGTATTTAATGATGTAAAAGCCACAATTTGGACGTAGCCATTACCTCAATATATATTATACGCGATGCATAATGATAGGTGGATACCGACCCATATTTACAGCCGAGAAGAAAAAAAACAATCGGCGTGGCTGCAATTAAGCTCGTAATGTAATTGACGTATAGGAGTGCGCGGTGATTTATTATAGATATACATATTAATATAGGCTGTGCAGGCATGGTTACCTATAGGTGTGAATACCTATATATTTATCGTATAGATGGTAAAAAAGATCGGCATGCATTTTGTCATCGTAGTTCGCATAATGTAGGCTCCTACGGTAACTATCCCTAATAGGAGGACACTCTCGTCTCGATTGTCGTACGCTTAAACTCATAGGTTACATTATATATTATTCTGTACGTAATATTTGCACTGCGAGTACATGATACTTATATTTATATATATACATGAGCATGCGAGCTTTCGAACAGCGCGACGTCGCAATTTTCCGGTTGCGTGGCCATACGTATGCCGTGACCAATTTGAATGGGAATAACAGCGGCGCCGAGCCATATTTATGATAGGGGGGGGGGGCATCGATGTCAACCAAGTAGCGGGGGGGAGGAGATCAAACGAGCCACATCGGGATATATGGCAAACAGTCTCTCTTTTGTCGTTGCATTGTATATTATGTGTAAGTAGGTAACTTGTTGACTGCATTGGTTTTACACGTATAGAAGCACACCATGCGAAATACGTGAGTGTATAGGCCCAGACGCACCACATCATATTGGTACTTTTGTCATCATCCGCATACAGGTACTCGTATGTAATGTACACATGTAATACCGGTACGAACCAATAGAGACTGGGAGAAGAGATCGGTATGAGCGTTCGTGACGTTTAGAGCTTGTCGTCGCCACGCGGACTCTCTCTCTACCGATATAGTATACAGCACTATATCCAATATAATATACGCGTATATATAGGTACGTGCCAACAGCCGAGACGACGACTTTCGCCTCGCGACATCGATACATATCGCCAAGCGCGGATCATCGTTTCGTAACTGCAGCATACCGATTTATACCGTGTGCACACGCTTCCGTTCCCATGTGCACCCAATACCAAGTATACATGTATATATTATACAACTGGCGGGGACCATTTTTTCTTTTACCTATATACATGTGGAACGTCGCCCACTGCGCGAGAGAGCCACCTAAATACAAGTATTGGCAGTACATTGTGCATCGGTATCTCCTCCGATGGAGGTATTTGGCGAAAGAAAGGAGAGCTCGTTAGTCGGGATCATTTTTAATCGCAAGCTTGTATCGTCGCTCGATCGCACACGTTTCTCCGTATAATACAATCCTTGGGTACATATACACGTGGGTACCCTCGATTCTCGATACTCCCTTGCCGAACGAGAAAAGATCGCAGTTGTTCCGAGTATAGATGTGGCCTCGCTTCTCTACTGTACATTTTGGTGTATTTTCATCATCATCCAAGTCGGCAGATCGAGTCCACGAGCTCCAATATAATACCGATGTACATCCGACTCTCGCATACATAGTCGTTCAATCTCATCCATCGAGATATCGGTACAACCTATATCTATATATACGTACTTGGAATCGTCGATTCTCGACTTTCCAATTTTGCGATTGGATGCTAACAATGAAATACCTTTGGAAGAGGAGTATAAGAAGTGACACCGCCGTTGGGTACACGTCGAGTATATAGCGACGAGTTAATTGACCGGCAATTATTTAATAATAAGAGAAAGCCCGAGCAAATAAAATGTAGTGTATGACTGATGCGAGTGTAGGTACCGATTTTATACTATAATTTCTATAGGTCCGTGGTATCAAAAAAATTTCGCGTACGGATCAATAGGCTTACGGTATCCCTTCGAGGCGTTTCAATAGTTACTAACACAATTGTATACGTAATCACCATCATCATCATTATGTTAGAAGGATATTATTAGTGAGACCTAACGCGCTACCTGTTTTGACTTTTAAATTACAGTTGATTGGGATGCCATTTGTTTGCCGAGTGACTGATGATGGCCGTGTAATTCAAAGGATAAATCAAAGAAAAAGTAACGCTTGTTGTACATTCACGTGTTTGGATAAGTATATGTATTTGTACGCGCGACATTGGAAATGAGCGATTATTTTTCATAGTCATCGTCGTAGGGGGTGGGGGGGAGGAGAAATTTGCAGCGCAAAAAGTAGAGTTGTCCCCTGGGGGCTCGTCTTTTTTCCCCGAGAATTCGAAATCGGGTGCATCGACCGATCGCGTGGGCATACATGCCCACACTACACGTGTAATTTGCATTTGCACGCCCGAGTGGGTATAACTTGTGTGCGGACCGATTTCCGATCGACTGCGCTCGAAATGGAGTCCAACGCGGGCGCGTTTCTCCACATAATACCGGTAAATGTTCGCTTTCATTGGCCGATTGTAGACGATTTTGGCCATCCGATGTTACTTTTATCGAGTGTACGAGCTGCACGACCATTGCGAGAGGACCGATCGGTTTGACGGTGCCATTAATTTTCATTTGTACACGAGATCGGTACCTTACGTATATACACACGCGAGTTTCTACTGCCTGCGTTTGCATCGATCGCAACGATTCGCAATGGCAGTGTTTATTATGTCCACACCGCTCGCAGTGGCTGCTATTTTTATTTCATCACTGAAATATTAATATACACCGGTCAAACGAGCGTTATACAACCGATAAACTTGAATCACTTTCACCTTCCGATCACCCATTTTTTTTTTTTTTTTTTTACGTCACTTGTTATCGTTTTGTCACAGCATTTTATGATAATTTCTCGCGTAACACACGCACAAACTCAATTATCGAGGATCGAGTCTGTCGGCCGTCCGTTTCTCCATAGTCAAGTGCTCGATGTAGGGTATATGGGTATTTAGAAATCAGATTATTTAAAAAGCCTAGGCAAAACGTTACGAGTCTTGAAAAAAAAAAAAAAAAAAAAAAGAAAAGTAAAAACATGAAACGTTTGGGTTACTAAATAGGGGACACCTATGGAAAAAGTCATTATTAGGTATGATATTGCATAGAAAGCTCATATGGGCAGAGCCGAGTTATTCAGGTCAAAGATTTGCCTCGTCGAGTGCCGGCACTTTTCAAGAAATTGTAAATTTCTACGAGCTACTAACTTCAATATTTGATTTTTTCTTTTTATATATATATTTTTTTAAACCGATGCCGCCACTCCGTTAAAGAGGCGTTAACGCAAATGCGACGAGATCCCCGTGGGTGATTATCGACGCTTGGTCTTGCAACTACTGGGAGAGAGATGACGCTCGCTCAGAAGAGTGGAAAATCGAAAAGCGCGATGTACTCACCCATCTGATTGGGCGAAAAAACAAATAACCTAGTCTCGGGGAAAATTCCGGGTTAACGAGAATGCAAGGAGCAATATCACTTATTTACGGTTTTCCACGTTATCTCGCTAAAAAAGAAAGAAAAAAACGCACGCGATAACACGCAAACGTAAAAGAAAACCAAAATCACCGTGGGTATATTATACGTGTATACACTTCGCGTGCACCTGCCAACAGCTTGAAATAATAAATACCTATACACATCCACTCCGCGACGAGCAAGTTTCTTTTTCCCGTCTCCATCCCAAGGTATTTGGGCTAAGGCAATAAATTCGCACGTGGCGGTGGACCTTTTTTTTTTTTTTTCTTCTCTTCCTTTAATGTATGCTGCTTTCACTGGCCAAACGTGCGACGATGGACTCTCGCGCGGACGCGGAAAAGGAGCGAAAGAATTTAAATGCACGCGGCAGCGTTACACCAGGAGAATCCGGAATCGAAAGTTGTCTTCCCTCTCTCTCTCTTTTTTTTTTTTTTTTCTTTCTTTTCCTTCCTCATAGCAAATAATTATACGAAATGGGGAAAATGAAGGGGAAAAAAAAAGAAAAAGAAAAGAAAAGGGTGATGTTTACTGTAGACAAACGAGCAGTTTGTTATACTTTTGCTCACCTGTAGCGTGACCTTGAAAGGCTCCTGCAGCCGCTCGCGCTCCAGGAGGTAATCTATGGCACCGGGCATCGCGTCCACCCCCTTGGCCTCCCTCGCCCCCAAGTACCAGACGTAGTACGAGCTCTTTTTGACATCCTTGCTGGCCCCTCGGCCGCGCAGAGCCATCACTTGCTGAAACCAAAACCAACGCACCGCTTCATTATAATTTCATTACGTTCATTCGCACAGTAAAAAATAAATGCAATCTCTGTGTTACAGCCATGATTTTACGTATACATAGTTAACGGCGAGTACACGTACACCTGGGTGTATTCTCTCATTGTTTGATTACGTTGGGTTGCAACCCTTTACTGCAACGCTATATACGTGCGCGGATGAGAGAAAAAAAAAAAAAAAAAAAAAAAGTAGGTATTCCGTAAAGTTTTGCAATGCCGCGTGCCACAGCCACGCGCCTCAAATGACTTATTTGCCATACGCTCGGCATTGTGGCACTCAAGTGCACAGCAGTAAAGCCCGTACCATCAATTTTCACGAGCCTAAATGTGATTATCAGCCATTCATGGCTTAAACTTCCTTGAGCAAAACCTTATGACGTCGGTGTATACCTATACACCGGCAAACACAACCAACAGAGACACGCCACTCTCTGGTTTGATTGTAATAACCGGAGGGGGCAAGCTTTTTTTTGTACCCACTCTATTTGCGCGTACCTAAATACATAAGCAGTAATTACAATGTAGGCGCACGCCACACGTACGCTTGACCTCGCTACCTGAATATAAATGTATAATATACCTATACACACACCTTCTCGCCCATCCCGTTCCCACAACCATAATATATAAGTACAATGCCTATACTTGTATACCATATAGTCCTCCTCCATCTCTTTATTTCCTTCCTTTCAGCTCGCGCGCATTTCCACGGGGTATCTCTTAGGCCCATTGGGCGAGTATACCGCTACACGAGCCGGTGTAAAAAAAAAAAAAAGTTTATTTCAATTTGACGCGAGAGAAGAGTTGTTCCGGTGAAGAGCGACGCTTTGGGGAATTCGGAAACATTTTGGCGCCGCTCGGGTACGAACCGTTTAGCGCGTGCGTGTCGCGGTTACGGTGAAATAATGCAAATTTTGAAGCCCCGTAAGGATATACAATGGAGTGAAAAGAAACAATCGGTTGGAAGTTACGAAATTCATTGCTTGGGTCTTGTTGCTCTCTTGTCGGATGAGGTGTGTAGAATTCCGAATTTTCGGCCTGAAAATGGTAAATCCACAAGCAGGGTGACCAAAATAGCGCGAGCGTGCATAATTTATAACGTTTTGCACACCTGACGCCGACCCACGCGTCAAGGCGCGACTTGGTGATCCATTTACGCGTTTCACATAACAGCCTCGCGCAGGTTCCTGCATATACGCGTACCACTCACGAGCTAAACTCAATGTATTCTAGCGCCGAAAGGAGAAAGAGGGAAAGAACTAGTTCAAGATCTACTTCCACCGCACATAAGTATTTTCCATTTTTTTTTTTTTTTTTTTTTTTTCCATTTAGGAAAAAACATTGCGACTCATGTTTGTGTATTAACTGATATAGGATGCCTGCCTACTTACGCGTAATTGTGTTTTGCTATAATTTTTGGTAAATTTGAGTGTGGGGCGGTTAAGCAACTCTCGGGGCACGTCGGAACAACCGTTTGGGAGGGAGAAAAAAAAAACAAAAGATGTGGGGTAAAAACAGTTAACCGATGGACTCGAAAGGAGAAACGTTAATTTTACAATCACATGCATGAAAAAAAGTAAGTTGGAAAGTCACGCGTAAATTGCTCGAGTATGTGTACTCAACAGACACACGCGCTTGTACGCATGCTGTGGAGTGTGGATTGTAAGTGCAGCGCGTATATATTATATGATTGGACTGTTTTTGTAGTCCAAGTCCTACGGTATGTGAACAAATGGATATTTCCACCCAATCTTTCAATGCCAGCTCCATGTAATCTGTCACTGACGAAATTTTTCTTGTCAAACAAATTACGAGTTAAAATAACCGATGCAATCTTTACACAAGTCGCGCATTATAAACATTTTTCAATGTCCAGAGACCATTACTTGAATTTTTTTTTTTTTAAGTTAAGCCAATTTTTTTATGTAAGATCGATATTTTTTAAGTAAAAAACTTTGAAACGATGTAAAATTATGAATTTTTCATTTAAAAACGCGAGAAAATTTGTTTCTATCATTTCGAACCAAAAAGTATGAAATCAATAGTTTTGATCAGATATAGGGTTTAAAGAAAAAATTTTCAAACATAAAGATCTTCTTAATATTGCAAGCATCGACGGAATGATCCATGTACCTATAAATGTGTACATCATAATATTATACGCCACAGGGTATACCTATACATCATACGCCGCTTCTCTAATTCTCTGTACGAGTACATGAAACTGTTGCTCTTCTGTAAAAATCGGCCCATCTTTCTCCCTAGTGGGGGATGCTAAAAAAAATACGAGTAAATCACCCCTGCTGTAAACATTGAGTTCCCCTTCCGTAAAATTTCATCCATACAAATTCTTTCGCTTAAATCGTGTATGCTTGACAAGGATTATTTGCCCTTTAAAAAAAATAACCCTACAGCTATCGTTTGCAATTTTAGTTTTATTTTTAGCTCGGAAAATATTTTTCTCCTCGATGCCACCACAGCAGAGTAAACGAAGCCAGCCGCGGGTCAGCGGCGTGTTTTTTATTTCCCGATAAACATCATCCGACACTAGAGTCAACACGCAGTTATCAGTAGCTCATAGGTACGCATTATCATAGTTACTCGATATGCTGATAATGCCCAGTACTAAAGTATATAATACGTATAATGGATGTTAAATGCACATATAAAAATCGGGAAAACTCACCGAGTGTGCGCGTATATGTTCAGGCGAGAGCGTCGAGCTCGAAGTGCAGTGGCTGCCCCGCTCGTAAGAGAGTATACGTATATATAGGTATTCTTTTGCAGTATAAGGTATATATATACAGCTGCGCTCGCCTCGAAGGAGCTGCAGTCGCGGATGCTGCACTCCTCCTTCTTCTCTTCAACTTTCGCGCGAGTCAGGGCTGTTGTGCATATACGGTATACAAGACCGCAACACAGTACGGCTGCAGCTCCTTATTGCACCTATACAATATACCTATACGGTACACGCACACATATGTACACTGACACGCGCGGATCGGCAGTTGCGTAGGTAGGTATATATGCGCCTCTCCCGTCACTTTTCTCTCGTTTTGACAGCCAGAGAGAGAGAGAGAGAGAGAGGAAGAGAAAAAAAAAGGCAAAATACGAGGTATGCAGGTATATTTATCGACGCAGGCGTTACCGATCCGCGAAGTAGCGCGCACCCAGCATCGTACCCGCTGCACAAGTCGCGTAGCCAGCGACGCCGTAGTCGCTGTCGCACATGGCGCCTACGCGTACAGGCTAAGTATTTTATATATACGATAAATGCAAGCGTAGCCAACAGCTGGACCGGTACCCACGAACGCCTCGGCATGCACTCAATGATCGGTAAAGTATAAAAACAACAAGTAAGCGGCTGCGTTTACCGATTTTACTCGGCACTTTTCGGAGCCGCGGTGCGCGGAGACACTTGTATACGTATAACGTCACAGCGTTCGCTAATCTGTACGAGTGGACGGGCGATGTGGGAGGCGCAGGAGCGACTGGCGGTCGTCGGCTCGCCGAGGAGCTTGTACCTACTTACTGCCGAGAACTCCGGCATAAGGCTATAGCGATGTGCCGCCACGACTCCTGATGACGGCAGAGAACACTCCGCTCTCTCTCTCTCTCTCTCGTTGCCTCTTTCTCCCGATGTGCGGAGCCCTGCAACAACACCACCACGACTTCCAAGTGGAGGGACGCACACACCGGTAGCACTCACCCACCAGGTGAGTGGGATCGGCAGGGGAACGAGAGAGAGGGAACCGCGTTTGAAAGGAATACGATGGCGGCAACCACACACACACGTGCATGGTATACACCGGAGCGAGAGAGGACGAGGAGAGGCTCTCGGAGAGGAGTTGCGGTGTTCAGGCACAGAGGACGACCTCTCTGTACGTATACCTACCTATATGTGGGCCTATATTGTATATATATATACCTTAATACTCTCCGCTGTTGTTGCTGCTATATATACCGAGTGGGAGCGTTCACCCAGGTGATATATATGTAGGTGTACGTGTATATACACCTCATAAGCTCCCCGAGAAGAGAAGGTGCAGAGCTATTATATACACGCTTGGGTCCCGGCTCGCCTTCGAGAGCTCAAAGCGCGGGTGGAAAAGGGACAGGTGGACACTATGTTGTATAGATGTCACCCATTATAAATTAATACGTATATAAGTACGTACGTATATTGATCATCACCTCTGTGACTCTATCATGATGGGCCTATATTACACTTCGTTCTCCAACACGTAATATAGTACACGCATACATACCTTTCTTACATATACATAGATATGTATACCGGTATTTGTATGGATAATTACCATAAATATAATACAATTATACCGACAACTTGTATATTATGTACGGAGTCTCTTTGGGTACGAGAGGGAAATGGAGAAGCGTCTATCCCTGAGCCGATTTTTGCTCTTTCTCTCTCTCTCTCTCTTACCGGTTTCCCTCCTCCCTGTAGACATCTTCCAGTGTCTAGCTCGTCTTTGTACATCATAAGCTCGACTTAGCTGTTTACCCATATACGTATACGTATACGTTATAAATATGTACCTACTTTTCATCTCGCGCATTGCTTATTACATTTTGCGCTCCTCGAGTACATACGTACGTGTATTATATACAATACTTGATGTACCTACAACTCTCATCCCGACTTTTTTTTTTCTATATAAGCTATATAGCATTATTTACAAGTATACACATCAGCAGCAACATCACGAGGCGAGCCTCGATCGAAGGAGAAAGGATAATATATTATGTACCTACCTATAATATTACAATGTGTGTGCTGCTGCGGCCAAAGATCTTTCTCTTTTGGTTTTTCGCGCCGCGTCGCAGTGTCATATGTGTGCGCCCTGTCTAAACTTAATATGGGTGTGTTGGTGTAGGATGAGTATATTGACCTTAATATATATATACCTACACCCATTCATCTATACATACCGAATACCGATTAACCGCAGCTACAATTGTAGGTATATGTCGGCTTGTACACGGTATACCGCATTGTAAGTGTATATACATTACATGAGCAAAAACGACAATGCACACATGTATGCACGATCGAGGGAGTCGAGATGAGAGAGAAAGGGTTTTGTTGAGAGCTGCATTATTATTGCTCTAATGCCGATCACTCGCTCATACAATACCCATGTGTACACACACGTGAGCGCTTCGCCACGCCGGTTCTCGATTTTTGTTGACTATAAGCTATCATATAGCTCCTTGATTTTTTTTGCCATTTTTTTACACGAACTTGAGAAATGCTGCACCTCCTCCTTCTTTTACGACTCTTTGCCCTCTCGGAGATGTCTATTCCATCCTGGATTTGTCGATGGGTACAATGTCACACTTTCGCCGATCCCGACTGCTGATATTTCGTTACAATCTCTCACATCGGTAAAAAGTACCTATAAACTGGTGCACCGTCATTATATACAGTGCCCGAATGACAAACTTATCAAGAGTGATGAGCTAAGTATTATTTTCACTAAATTCAGTATATGTATATTTTTTTTTTTTTTTTTTTTTCTTCTTCGATGGTGGTAATGACTACGTAACTATACAAGAAATGGGACTGAGTCGGAAAGTGTGAAACAAAAAAAACCCGTGTCGGAGATTCTTGCAAATACATCTAGCCATTTATCATGACCAATATCTCTCTCTGTCCATCTTTAAATATATGTATATTCAAAGGCACTTGAAGAGCTGTATAAATAATATGTGACTGCAGTGGCATATAAATAACAACGAGACAGACACGTGCAACAAATACATCAGAGATTGAAAAAAATGTTTCATTCAATTGGCACAATACCTACTTGGTAGGACGAAAGAGAGAGAGAATATTGGCACTCGCTTGTTTTCGAGCTTAATTAATTAAGGATTATTGCCGGCGTGCCTTTTTAGCTCCTCTCCTCTACTGGTTTCACCGAAGGAGAGCTTGATCAAAATTACTCGAAATTGCTTGCCCTTCCTGGCCCAAAGGGAAAAAAAAGGTTGATTGCTGGGCTCATGTTTTACGCTATTTCTTTAGCGGAAAATCCTGAGTTTTGAGCAATGGCATAACTTTAAGGTGATTTTAAGTGATGTATTTGACCGAGTAGAGGGATATTTTGACTGTCAAAATGATTTGAAAGTTAGTGGCCATGAAAGAAAAGGATGAGGTCCAAGCGAAGAGGCAAAGTAAGTATGAAGTAAGTAAGTAAGTAAGGACTGCATTGGCCTTTCGCCGCGAGGCTCTGTGACCCCTCTCTCTTTTTTCCAAGCCTCGAATCCTTTCTTTCTGTCACTCTTTCTCTCGCTCTCCGTTATGTACACACAACCATACTCTCCCACCTCGTGTACACTCCTCCGATAATGCTCTCACTGTTTTTTTTTTCCTCTTCTTTTGTTCAATTCATGCCACGCATTTTCCAACTTCTGCCTGAATCAATTTCACGATTGCTCGAGATTTCGAAATCTCCCGAGCCACGGATGCTGAATCTCCCTCCAGCACCGTTAAGAGAGAACTTTTTTGACCCATGTAGGTCATTTGAGCTCAACTGTCACTAATCACCAACATTACAGTCTCAGCTGGTAGTGTACGTCAACATTTTCAACCACGTGTGTCTACTGATGTCATCGAGGCGCGCTGTATAAATACATTTTCCATACGTGTACGCCTTGTCAATTGTTTGCGTCCATACCTACGTTTCTTTTCTCCGGCAGAATCTCTCACGCAACGTGTAAGAAGTGCGCGGAGCGGTATTTGGCCATTTTTTTTTTTTTCATTTTTCATCACCTGGGGCTTGGGTCAAAACGTATTCAGAGACCTACATTTGGAGCTGGGGTTCCCACTCTTTCGGCTCAAGTCAAATCTTTCGATAATTGTTTCACACCCGTGGAAGTTTTATGTCATGATGGATGAAAGTCAGCACGAGGCAATATAATGAATACTGTTACTCATGTGGATGTTATGATGAATAAAATCAGGTGCAAAAGCAAATGAAGCACGAGTAAAGTGTAAATATGTGGTAAATAAGTACTGCGTTATTTTTTTTTTTTTTTTTGAGAGGGAGTGAAATTTACGTTTTCAAAGACAATTCGTTGAAAATTAAAACGAGAGAATTTCCGCACCGTTCGATCCACCAAAAATGTACGAAATAATTTTTAAAAAAGGCAAAAAACGTTAACCATGGAAAACTATTGGCCTTATATAGCCTTTTATAGCAACTTGTTATTTTTTTTTTTTACGTGCATCTTTTTCTTCCCTGACGAGTAAAACAAACTTCAAATGAGTATGTGCGCTCTGGCAAATGGGGTTCGACCCTATCGCTTATCGTAGAATTATTATATTGAGGGAGCCTTGTGCGTGCGTGTTGATTTCTAAAAAAAAAAAAAGAAAAAAAAATATAGAGGATACATAGGTAATACATACACACGTATTTATACTGATGCTTGTGTGCTATTGAGAAGTGCAAGTGCAAGTGCACTTTGTACATGTACGAAGTAAGCAAGTACGAGCATGAAAAACTTTCATCCAAAAAACGGATAATGAAGCTAAGAGTCCTTACATAAATATGGTAGTATACAGACATGACGTAGCAAAAAGTAACGCGGACACAGCAGCCTATTTATGATATATAATTCTAAATGTTATGGCCTTCTTTTATTATACGATTTTGGAATTCCAACGGTTTTTTCGAAATTTCCTGGTGCAGCAAGGAAATCAAGGTCGTTCAATTTTTCTTTTATTGCATAGGTGTACTTATATACTGGGGAGTAGCGCGGCGCGCCAATTAACGGGCAATTACGTCGTGTGGCGCGTGCGCGCGCGCGGCTCCTCGAGTATTTTCTATTTTATCATTCCAAAGTTTGAACGATTTCCGGTAAAAGCGCCCAATTTCTCAAATTGTAATTGAAAATACGCCATTACTATGCTACACGCAGTTACCCAAGGATAATCCGCAGCGCAACCCATTTGCATTTGGTTCATTGACAGCACACGCGTACACTCATTACCCGTAAGAAGTGTATACACCTATACATATACGTGTAATTACGAACAGGTTGACTTTCAATGTAGGTACGTATACAGTTTGATGATTTTACAGCTAGTAGGTACAAGCGGGAGTATGGGTATACCTACATAATGATGATGTACAGTTATGGGTACGAGCAAGTAAATATGCTTGTATCAGCGGGTGTTGATTGAACACGTAATTTTCAATGCTGCAGCAACCATATCATCATGAACCGGCAAAATAAGTAAAAATTGACTCCAAGCAGGAGGGTCCGAAAAAACAGAACTCACACGCCAAGCCACTAATGTGCAAAGATAATAACGGCAACGTTGTATTTTTAATAGCAAAAACAAAGAAACAGTTGGGACGTATCATTATACTAATGGTAATAACCTCTTTTTATTTATGTATGTATTTATGGTCTTGTTTCCTCGGGCCCCCTAAAAATATTCGACAATCCGGTTGGAATGGCAATAACGACCAAAGTCAACGTTCCACCTTGCATGTGTATGAGGATGAGCAAAAAAAAAAAAAAAAAAAAAAAAAAAAATTTTCCACCGCGATGCGGTAGGTATTATACGGACGTTGTAATGAGAACGCGCGAGATAAGAGGAGAAGCAAATTAAGTATCGGTATAAATTTGCGTGGTCTAAACCCGAATGAAATATGTTAAGTGGCCTGAAAAGATGGCAAAGTTATGAGATGACGCTCACCTCCCTGTAAAACTTGATCATGCCAAGAGTCGGTGCATTCCAGGCAAGCAAGGGGGGGGGGATGTTCACGCCGTTGTTCCACAAAAACAAATAATACTTTTTGGGCCCGGGCCGCGAACAGAGGAGGCATCAACGAGTGGCATGGCTCTTCCTTCGACGCGGAAAATGTCAGGCGGATGTATACCCTGGCGCGCGTCGATTCGAGAACTGACGGCGGAAAGGAAGAGAAAGAGACTCCCATTCGCGGCAGCGAAAACTAGTCCACTGCTTTTTCTTTTCTTCTCCCCAATGGTTTTCCCTCCCGCGGCGTTTGACGTTGACGCACCTCGTTGCAGTTGCCCCAAGTCTTACTTATTTGCCGGGAGCAAAGAGACGACTCTCGTTATCTCCCGCGCGCCAGAGTACAAACATCAGGTCGGGGGAGGAGAAAATCGCCTCTACGCGGATCCTATACATTATATTGTATACGGACTTCCCGCCCGTACATTGGCGTATGCGCGACGGCGCCGCTAAGTACTTTTTTTCATTCGTCAACTACGACTGCTGTTGGATCATACGTGTGTACACCTATATGTGTTGACTTGTATGTACCTTTATAGTAAATCCAACCTGGACAGTCGTTCGTTGGAGGAGTTCGATGAAAAGCAAAATGAATGAAGCTCCGTCGAAGCTTATATGACCTGCAGGTCATAGATATAATCGGTGGGTATCCACGTGTGTCACAGGTGCATTTCTCCCCCCTAGTTTGCTCATCTCTCGCTGATAAGCCACGCTAGCATCTGTGCGCAATAACAATCGAATCCCTATATGGGGATAGGAGCGTGAGAAGAGAGCACGTAGGTACAGTTTGATGGAGTGTAACCGCAGCAACTGATTCGTGCTTGGACAAACTATATACATATAAATGTCCCAACACATGTTAAATTCAAAATGGATTACGAACAGTAACTCTGTGGAGTATGTATTGACTGGTGGCCGTTTTTAAGATTTCAATTGATTTCTCGGGCTTGAATTTATAGAGTAATAATACGTTGGACGGAAAAATGGCAAGAGAGGCACACGTAAAATGTGAATGCGTGCATAGCTAATAGGAGTTTGACAAAAATTGTAGCAGAAGTGTAGGTCTCGATAAAAAAAAATCCCTCTTGGAGATGGACCAAGGTAACCTCGATGAAAAAAAGGTAAAAAGCATCGATCAGCCCATATGGAATATTACGGCGTAGATGATTATGAAGATACGATAACCACACGATTAAGCGCTGCGTTACATATAGGCTTTTGCTAATGATAAGTTGCAAGAACGGCAGGGCATCTTTTCACTTTCATTGGCATATAGGCTCTGGCCGTCATTTACCACCACAACAACCGCAGAGCCATGGCGTTACTTGAAATTCGGAATAACTTCAAGCTTAAATGATAGCCCAAACTTTTTTTCGTTTTTACAGGTAGACCGATGGTTATTAGACCGAGTAAATATTCTATACCTATACCAAAGTTGTAGGCAGGTTTACCGGCGTGCCTGATGTGCACGCGAGAGTATAATTATACATTAATCGAATTCACACGATTTCCTTCCGTTATTGATGAGAAGCTCTGGTCCCGCAACATGTACAACCAATATAGTCAAGGAGTATATGGATACCGGAAAGTCCCACGGCTGTAGCACGTGATTAATAAACGTGCCATATTACTACAGGTACGTTGATCGGAGTTGTAACTTTTACGTTGTGTAGGTAATCGTCCAATAAAATAATCAGGACAAGCGATGTTTAGCGTTTTCAATTGAGTGGCTCATAATACAAAATAGCTCGAATCGAGAAAGTCGCTTCGCTAATCGAGTGTACGTATAGGTACACCCATGCGTCTACATTTTTTTTTTTTTATTCGTTATTCGTTCCATTTGAGATGGTGTCGATAGTAGTATACTATATCTGAATATATACTTATCGTTTCGAGATTGTGCGCGCAAAAAAGTGAGGGATCAGCGCATTTCGGGTCTACTCAATATTATCGTACACAATACGCGAATAAGTGTACTTGTGGCTGTACAAGTACTTACGAGTAAGGCGACGTCGTTGCAGAGACGGAAAAGGAATTGCGGAAAGTGCATATATAGCGACGTGTTTTTTTTTTTTTTTCCAACTCGCGGTTGCGGGTCAGGTTACGCAATAACGCGCACGCATGACGAAGCTTGCGTACGACCAAATACCCAACTAGGCGCGCTCATGGGAAAACATTTCCTTAAATCGTGAGTTTTTCCCGAAAAAGAGTATAGACAATAGGAGCTCACAGGAAATACACAAGTATATAAATATGAGTATTACTCACACCTACTACATAATATATATATAGTGTAAGGCATCAACGCCACAAGGAGTTGCACTCCCTGACCCGTAAGTATATTATATATACGTGAGTGCGCGTACTCGCTTACATTATAATAGTATATTTATGTAGCTGCAAGAGGTTGTATACGTGGGTATGATGGGTTCGATGCATGAAAACGCAACAACTTCATGGGTATAATTACGATACATGACGTCTCAGGCTTCATTTCCACATTGTTTGCGAGCATGTGTGTGCCTATATTGGGAGCGAGTGTGCGTGTACGGCTTAATTTGCAAGAGAAAGTCGGGACAATGTGTGATTCTCTTCATTTTTTTTTTTTTTTTTCTCTTTTCTTCTAACGCGATGTAAAGTGCTCGCGTGGCGTGTGTGTGACCCAGAGCGCGATTTGCAAAACGAGAACAAGAGAGGGGGAGATTCATTTGCGTCTCTCATGAAACAAATTCCAAAAATAACCGCATGGGTTTTCTTTTTTTTTTTTTTTTTTTTTTTTTTCTTACCGATTCTGGAATGCTTTATCGAGGCGTAAATCCGATCCCACAAAAACCAGGGATTTTCCAGTCGCGCGTTTTAATTGAGTACAAAAGACACGCACATCGCGCAGCATGTAGAAGCGAGGACGCGGCAAAAAACGCGTTCCCCCCTCCTCTCTCTCTCTCTCTGTCGAGATTAGCAAATTGCCGATTAAAGTGTAGTTGCTGGGATTGCGTTGCGCGACGATTGAATTATTCCCCCCCCTCGACCTTTCGTACAATCGCAAAACAAAACAAACAAGCGAGAGAGGCTTTACTTAAAATAATCGTTTAACCGCGGCAGAGACCATTTAATTTACGTAACGATCCAAGCTGGTGACTGTTGTAAACTTTTCGAAGAGACAACATCTTGTCACGTTGCACAGATGTTTTTTGTTCATATTCTCGAGACATTGAAAAGAATGAAATTTTCGTTTATAGCAGAATTTGACACGCTCCGAGATGAGGAAGGAAAGAAAAAAATCGGTCAATTACCGATCGCCACTGCGCCACAAAAAGTGTTGATTGAAAGATCGGCACGGAAGGTGCAGTGCGTGACGAGAAAAAAGAGAAAAAAAAAAAAAAAGGCCAATGTGTGTTGTGTGGTTCATCATCGCTCCAGAGTTTCTCCCGCTACTGCCGGCCGGTAAATCATGCGGCGTCGGAACCAATTTCTCTGGCTTCGATCGCCTCAAAGACACACGCCAGCAACAACAGGCGGCAAGTGAGAGATGGTTTATAACAGTTAGCAGGTCGCCACAGAGGAGAGAGAAAAAAAGCAGACTCACTCCCCGGTGCCTTGGAACTGCCAAAAACGGCGCGCTTTTCCATTTTCTCCGCTGCTGCTGTACTCAACTGTATACTTATCAGGTGTATATATAGGCACACTATACACACACACAACCTGCTGTACATACAACCCTCGAGTCATGTATGCGCGCAGGTTTCGACGGTGATGGGTTTTTTTTTTTTTTTTTCGTTACTCCCCAAGCCCGTACGAGCGACTCGTTTGCCGCTCGCGACGAATCGCGATTTCTTTTAACGGGACTTTCCTTCTCTCCCGGTCGGGCACTTCATCTGATCGATGCTCTCCGCGGACACTCTCGACCACTTGACGGTCCTGTGTACAATGTACGAGTGTACATACACTCACATAATACAGTAAATCATCTGTACTCCCGCGAGGGTGTGTGTGTGTGTCTTTTATACTCATATCTCACATCTCCGGGGAATCGTTAGAATATCGACGACGTGTTTTTCATTTTACGGTGTATATATAGTTACCAGGCGAGAGAAAACAAAAAAAAAAAAAAAAAAAAAAAAGCTACATCCTGCCATTTGATAACTCCACTCGGGCAACTTTGTTTTGTATGACAATAATAGTTTAAATACTATCGGGGGCGAAGCACAAAAGGGGAAAAAAATACACGGAATCTCATCGGACAAGCTTTCCTCTTACATTACTGACTTACTATAAACTAATGGAATCAATTTGTATGCACATAGTATCGAAGATATATTTTCGTCACCTTGGACGAGTCAAACCTCCTCCTCGTACTTTCATCGAGGATAGGTAGTAAACCCCATTGTTTTTTTTTCCAATTGCCGTGTTCGCAAAAATATAGTATATATATATATATCCGTGCATGCCTTTGTATTATATAGGTATACTGTAGACACATTCGTATTTCATGTATACGCGGGGCGGTTGCGTAAGCAAAGTCGGTGCGAGGAAAATTGTAACTTTCAACTGATAATCTATTCGCAGAGCTGGTGATGGATGATTTCTGTACAGCTCTCGTGATTAGAAATGCGTAAACAAATCCGCGGTATATAAAGCCCGGCTAAGTATGCTCGCTCGGACATTGATTTGTGTTATTGAACAAACACTTGAATCCTCAACTGTACTCCATAGAATGGTCAGCATGAAGGGCTTGCTCGTTCTCATTTTGTTTGCCAGCGTCGTTTGCGTCTACTCGGTCAGTACTAGTACTTGGTCTTGTTGCATCATTATATTTCTCGCATTTGCTTGTTATTCCGTTCGATTGACACAATTTGCCTTGCCAAAGTAGCATCACCATCATTTGGAGGAGAAAAATTTGACGGACGAGCAGAGGAAGAAGATACGAGACGAAGTAGAGGAATGCATAACAGAGTCCAAAGTCGATAAGAGTAAGCCATTTCAAGATCAGAGTGTTGAAATTCTTTCCTTTTTTTTTTTCACAATGATACCTGCACGAGAGGGATGAGCCATCGCTACGTTGTGTTACTTGGTTGGTTGTTTGTTTTTTTTTTTTTTCTTTCTACAGAACTATTGGATGACATCAAGGATGGCAAAGACTTTACACCGACTCGTGAGCTCGATTGTTTCTCGGCCTGCGTTCTCAAGAAAAATGGAGTGGTAAGTGCGGTCTTGGCTCTTAGCTTTAGGGGTGAGTGTATAGGTATAACTATAGGTGTTGGTGGTTATTTCCTGAATTTGTGTAGATGAAGGAGGATGGTACCATCGACCAGGACAAGCCGAGTACAAACGACAAGGTCAAGGAGTGCAGGAAACTGGGTAAGCTATAGGGTTCTTTTTTTTCTTTACTGCTCATCCGATCATATTTTCATTGCGTTTGTTTCCAGCTGGCGCAGACGCTTGCGAGACCGGAGGCAAAGTCATGGAATGTTTTGCAAAGAACAACCTCATTCCGAAATTTTAGGAAGAATACGATCGAGCGATCATTATACTTTTGCCATTTTTTTTATTTTTATTTTCAACATCCAGGTCAAACTATTTTTGTAAGTGCGTACAAAGTTGGTAACTAAAATTCGACGAAAGTAAAATAAGATTTCCAAAGAATCGCTTTGTCCGTACAAACCCTTTTATCAATACATACAGATTGTTGTTGGTTAATTAAAAAAAAAAAAAAAAAAAAAAAAAAAAAAAAAAAAAAANAAAAAGTATCTACACTTGCGTATTCAATGTCAACCAAAAATTATAATCATATTTCTATACATTACTTATTCATATGCTGAAAGTTAAGCATAAGAATTCGAGGAGAAAAAAAAAAAAAAAAAAAAAAAAAAAAAACTCTCACCTTTTTTCATTTCAAAAATAGCGCGCTTTCGATCGTTGATATCACGTGACCGGAGACATGGAAGAAAACTGTTTGGCTTCGTCCAATCGGCGCACGAGTTCGCCTCCCCATCCGTGAGGATTTGAAAAAACAAACCGCGCACAAGTACACATATAAGTATACTTAGTAAGTATATTCCATTGCTGCACACCACCAGCTGCATGGTGTTGTACAGTTGTACACCCCTCTGACCTCTACTGACGCGCGAAATAACCGTTGGAAATTTTCGTTCCATGTACACATGCATGGAATTATAATCTACATGCGCGCAGAGTAAGTACGTTACAGCGATGAGGGGGTGTTTAAATCATTGATAATCGTAGTGTGTTGTAAAGAACTTTAATTATCATTTAATTCGTCGCCGGCACCACCTGCATCTATTGTGGGTGTGATACTGTCGATGTTTGTTGTTGTTGCGGCTGTTATTTAAATACACAAGTTACTACGCATCACAAGAGAGAGGGTGGACACACCAAACGAATACGCTTGGAAGAGAAACTCAATTGCAAAAGTCGCGTGTGCCGCAGCGGCTTGCGATTCATCGTCAGCAAAGAAAAAATGTCTTGTCTTCGGCAATTCGAGGTTAGCGCTTTCATTATTTGGCTGTGAGGGCTTTGTTTACGCCTCGTTTATCAAATCTACTGATGCCGTATCTTCTTTTTTTTTTTTGTTTACCACTGCCAGCTTTTTACTCGTTGTGAATTACAATTTGAGTATGTGCTTAACAAGTACTTCATCAAATATTTATTTCGTTCGTGGGAACTAAAAATATATACTTTTTCCATGCGAGGGATACTCGCCGGGTTTTAGGCCATGATGTTGTCCAAAGTTTCATGACTCTCAATTTCGTAATAAAAACATTTACAAAGTTACCGAGCAGTATGTTTTATGACGAAATTTTTTATTTTCATGTATATACCTTGCCCAACTGTAAATTTAACTGTGCTTTTTTTCCAACCGAGTGCAACAGTTAATTATTATTTTTAATTCATTGATGAGTTTTTTGTTACTGGCCAGTCAATGAAATATTTCAAGAATTCAATGTATTTGTTCGATAAAGTGTTTGTATAAAATTTTTGTTTTTCTTCTCATCAATTAGACTAATGCGTTACTTGATAACATTGAGATGGAATTGCAAATGGAGAACAAGAGAAAAGAATTGAAGGAAATTAGAGAACAGAAGAAAAAGTTGCTTGCCTTGCAGGACAAAACAGAATCAAATTACAGGATGACGTCCAATCTGGAAAATCAACTGGAGGAAACAACAAAGAGATTAGAAATAACCTCCAGAGAAAGAGATAAATTTGAGAGGGAACTTGTCACAACTAAATCAGAATTAGCTGGAATCAAACGTACTCTGGGTATGCTATGAAATTACAATTGTTTTTTTCACAATTTGAAAAAATTTGATTTTAAGTCACGTAAATGTTAATGATTTATGTATCCATGTAGACCTGGAGCGTCAAGAGAGAAGAGAATTAGAAACAAGAGCCTTAAATTTGATAAAAAGTGCAAAGAAAAAGTGGGAGAATGCAGAGAAAGACAAAGTTGCTCAACTGAATAAACACATTGAATCTCAAACTGTACGCATCACAGAATTGTGTACGAGTAACAACGAAATGAGTTCTAGGCTACAGCGAATGGAGTGTGAACTTGAAACTGCCAATGCAGAACTTCATAAGTTAAGAGTCTTTCAGGTAAAGAAAATTTTTGTGTCTCACGAACGTGTAAAAAACGTTTTTCTTGATTTGATTGCATTTCAGGTACAATACAAAGAGTCTCTCTCCAAAATGCGAGAATTAAACCGTCAAAGTGCAGTTGGAGTTGAAAATAAGCTTGAACAGATATCTGCAAGAGCACACAATCAAATAGCAGAGCTTAGATCCAAGTTAGAGTTGGAAACTGCAAAAAACATTGAATTGGAATCCAAACTGAGGAATGAGCAAGATTCCAATCATTGTCGACAATCCAGACTCAACATGGGAATGGAATTGGCTCAAAATGAATTGAAAGACTGTCAAGAGCAGCTTAGAAGTTTAAAAGCAACAATCCCAGCGAGAGATGCTGAAATAGAGACACTGAAAAATCAGTTGCACGAAAAAGCTAAGCAGTTGGAAAGTGCAAACAACGCGGAACAATTTGCTGTTACGCTTCAAGAGCAAGTGGATAGACTTAAAATAGAAAATGATCAGTTGAAGAGACAATTGGAGGTAAGCATTTTTTATGTTTCAATAATTCGATTTTATTTTATAATCTTTCTTTCTCGTTTTTAGACTACCAAATCAGATTTGAATGAGACAGCAATAAATTTGGAAGTAAACGAAGCTCTTGCTGCGAATCTGGAAAAAGCTACACAAGATAAAGATGCGTTAGAAGAACGATTGAAAAATACTCTAAAAAAAGAAGGTTTGTACAAATTTTATTTATAATCTCTAGTGGTGTTGAATTTATTAACGAAATAATCGTATGCACGAATTTTAGAGGAACAAGGTAAAAAAGTTGGCGATCTGGAAGAGTTGGTGCGACGCTTTGAGAAAAGCGTAGTCAAGTTGGAAGCTGAAAATGCGACTCTTAAAAGTGGACAGAATCGTTCGTCCCTAAATCGTCGCTCGGGCTCAACAATTGAAGATACTGTAAAGATATCTGGTCTCGTGCAGCAAATCGAAAGCTTAGAGCAGCAGCTCAAGAGTTGCAAAGAAAATTTGTCAACTGAACGTCAAAATGCCAAACAGGCTCAGATAAACTTTTTTAAAAAGGAAAGGGAACTGTCGGAAGCAAATTTGGATAAAAGAATAGCTGTAAGGGAGGCAAAGGCGGCTGAAGAGAAGATAAAAAAATTGCAGGAAGAGAAACAAAGAGTTTCAGAAAGATTGAACAACAGGATCAAAGAAGATGATGAAAAACTTAAAAAAGCTGAAAAAGAGCTGGAGTCTTTGAAAGTTTCATTGGCTGATGCATCAAAAGAGGCATCACGAAACAAGCTTCAAGCTGATTCAGCTCAGAGGGTGAGTTTTTTTCGATGTTTTAAAATTTCAATATCCTTAATACTTTGTTTATAAAATGAATTGCATTTTCTTGTTTATTCAGGCTTTAACTCAGGCTAATAAGCAGATAGAGGAACTACAAAGCTCCAGTGCATCACTACGCCGTGAACTCGATTTTACTCGCAAACAGTTGCGTGGTAATGAAAGTCGCACGGATTCCATCCAGAGCGAAAATGAGCGGCTATCCACGAGGCTTGCTAAACTCAATGAAGAAAATAATGAACTTGAAGTGAAGCTCGAAAGGATACAACAACAAGCGAATGGGTACCAAGTGAACATAGACCTTTTGAAAGAAACCTGCACCGTTCTCGAGGAACAACTCAACGACTACGAGAAGCTTACAAGCAACCATGAAACGCGTGAGAATACATTGGTACAGGAAAAAATGAAACTCCAGAAAGACCTGGAAACAATTGAGACAAAACTGCGCGAGGCAAAGGTGGCTTTCAACGAAGAGAAAACGATGCGATTAGTGGCAGAACGAGCGATCGAGCGCCTCGAATCAGAAACTAGTGACATCGAGGAAGAGAGGAACGACTTGGTCAGCCAGTGCGACCAGTACAGGAAAATGACTCAGCAGTTGAACAAACAGGTAAAACAGAAGCCAACAAATTTTTTTTTTTTTTTTTTTTTTTTTAGTATATGTCCCGATTAACTTATTAATCACTATATTTTGTCCCAAGGTTGCAGAATTACAGCAGAGATGCGAAAAATTAGAGTGCGAGTTATCAGAAATGAGGCGAAATCTTGAAATATCCAAAGCTGAAGCACGAATTGTAAAGGAGGAAAGTACGCAGCATCTCACACGAGTGCATCAGCTAAAGGAGGAGAATGAATCACTAAACATCGACTTACAAGACAGCGTGGATCAGAATCAAGACTTGAGAGAAAGAGTTGCTGAATTAGAGGAGGTGCTTACCGAAATGCGTCAGTTCTACCAAGAACGCGAGATGAAAGCAGGCAGTACTTGCCAACAACAGACCAAACTTATCGACTATTTGCAATTAAAGCTTGAGGAAAGTAGTAAGCGCAAGAAGAATGTGTGTAACAAGATTTTTGGTTCCAAGCAGAAAGAAAACATACCACCAGTAAACCCTAACGCCTTGCCCGTTGGTTACCGCGAGCTAGAAAATCAATTGGAACAAGAGCGGGCCAAAGTTAAAACGTTGACGGAGCAACTGCTTGTCGTTAAAGCCTCGCGGGCAATAAGTCCGACTCCTGTGTCGAATCATGCATCACCAGAAAAGCTGCACACAGACGTGTCTGACGAAGTTATGGCGAGACAGGCTTCCATGCAACGAATGCGGCACAACATACCGCACAGGTTCAATATAAGCTTGCCGATGAGGCCTGGAAAGTGCGCGGCATGCATGGAGTCGATACAATTCGGTAAGAGAGCGACAATTTGCAACGAATGCCAAATCATGACGCACGTCAAGTGTTCAACGTCGGTGCCGGCCAACTGTGGCCTTCCTGGAGGATTCGCGAGACAACTTGGCAGAAATTTAAGATCTAGCTCGGAGAGCTTGTCAAGTTTGGGTGGTAGTGTACAAACCTTGGCAATCGACGAGCCAGATATGATTCCCGAAAGAGACACTGGGGGCGGGATCAAGCCCCCGGAAAACTCTACCTTGATGGAGGGCTGGGTGAAATTGCCAGGTCGTGCCAAAGCTTCTTGGGAACGCAAGTACCTGAAATTAGATGGCTCTTGTCTGTGTACCTATGAACATCAGCCTAGTCCGGGAATGATGCCAATCAATCGGCTGGATCTTGCAGAAAAAGACGGCTTCATTGTTAGCGAGACGGTTCACCAGGCCGACGTGCCTGGAACTGCCAAGTCCGATTTGCCTTTCATACTTAGGATAGAATCTAAGTCACCTTCGACATGCTGGCCAACGTCTAGGCTGGATATAATGGCACTTAGTCAATTGGATAAGAAAAAGTGGCTCCAGGCGTTAAAAATGTATTCGAGTAAATTATCAAAGACCGAGATCGTTCATACAGTGCTGAAACTAGAGAAACATCAAGTAAAAAAGCTTTGATAAGATTCGCAACTTTTTTTTTTCTTACATAAATTTTACATTTGTTGATTAACTTGATATTATTTTAGTTGGATATAAATACTGCTGTAGAGTTGGAAGACGAGAATGTGATATTGTTCGGTGCTGAGGAAGGTCTATTTTCTTATCAAGTTGGTCGATCTCGTTGTTTAACGGCTATACGAGGCGTTAAAAAAGTCTACCAGCTGACGTTGCATCCGCATGTGGGTCTTGCTATGATGATAGCTGGTGAGGACCGTCAACTCGTTTCTTGTGATCTACGACAGCTCAAAAGTAATGCCTTGGCTGCCGAGTGCTCTAGACCAGCCATCAACACGAAAGCAGTGCTTACAGGATCCGACAGCTGTCACTTGTACCAAATCCAAGGAGAAATGCTTTGCGCAGCCACAGCCAGTCACGTAATGTAAGTCTGTTAATCTTTTTTTTTCTTGGGTGGAAAATTTTTTTTTTTTTTTTTCACTGTGTGAAATTTCAGTTTACTCAAGTGGATAACAAACGAAGATTCTGGAGAATTTATAACTCTCAGAGAACTAGAGACACAAGAGCCATGCAGCTGTGCCTTATTTGCACGAAATCTACTGATTGTTGGTTGTCACAAATTTTTCCAAATCGATGTCAATAACTACTCTATTGACGGTAAGAACTTTACTAAATATCCATCGATTATAGCACTGCTAAGCGTCTTTATTAGTTAAAAAAAATTTTTTTTTGTCATACATGTGCTGCAACCCCATAGTAAATTAAAAAAAAAATTATCATTAACAACTGAATATTTCCAGATTTTCCGGAAGACGATGACAATTCAGTAAAAGCAGCTCTAAGCAGTGTGGCCAAACTAGGCATTTTTCCGATTCATGTATTAAATATTTCAAGCAGTTCCCATAACATTGAACTTTTACTTTGCTACAATGAGTTTGGAGTTTTCGTTAATGAAAATGGACAGAGAACCCGGAGCATTGACCCATCGTGGAGTCATCTACCTTTCGCATTTGGTATGGAAATTTACTTGCATTTTCAGTGTCTTTCTTGTCTATTCATTATTTTACTTTTTTAAAGGATTTTCTTTAAACTATATTGTTTCGTAGTTATATTCAAATACGCAGGATGTTTTACGGACAAATAGTTTTTTTTTTTTTAATATTTAATTTAATTCTAATCATTTACAATTTTGCTTTCAGCTTACCGTAAACCATATCTCTTTATCATTCACTTCTCATCGGTCGAAATTATCAAGCTCGACGCCGATTCCTACAGATCGTCTTCAGCGAATCCAGAGAAACAGTTGATAGAATTAAATAATCCAAGATATTTGGGATTAGCAGGACCTCGAGGAGTTTATGTATCCTCGGTAAATTCTATCCTGGAAGTTTTGAAAATTGAAGGACCCGCAAACTTGCAGAGCCAATGCAGCAGTCTCACAAGTTTAAATTCATGGTAAAAATTTATTTTTCAAATAAACTGGCCACTTTTTTCCCCGAGTCAATATTTTGGTTTGATTTCAGTTCGCAAAACGATGATGACAGCTCATCTGAATTCAGTCTAACTCCAAGTTTAATAGACGTACTTGATGGTCAAGGAAAAAAAGTACACTTTGCAAATTCATACGATCACTGAAGATGGCATGACAAATTGAATTCTATACATGGCTTAATGATTTAATGCAACTTATTGTAAATCAAGCGCTGCAGCGAAACGCAAGCCGTATTTTGTATTTCATCAGCTTGTTTTATTTCCGAATAGAATTGACTGATCAAACCGTAATACTCAGTTATTAAAGTACTTATGTTTACTGAAAAAAGGAAGAAAAAAAACATCAATACTATATTTAGTTATCTTTGTATTTTACACAAATGAGTTCTTATTGAAAAAGTTTGGAAAATTGTACATCCGATAATATATATCATATTTATACATAACTTGTAGATACAAACACAGCTTAAAAAAGAAATTTATCATACAATAATGTGAGGTAGATGTGTAATTATTATTAAATAACTAAAAGACTTGATAAGTAGCCCTCGTAAGATTTATCCCATGACTTTGGTAATTTGATATTACTAATTTATAAATATAAAAAAGTCACGAAAATTCTTGCCATAACTTTTGTAAGTGGCTATAATAATATAGTACAATGCATTTTCAGCAGCATTTTCTGTTGCAGAAATATATGCTCGTAAATTAAGTACTGCAAATTTATCTAATAGTTTTAAGAATTACATAATAAATGTAGAATAAATTTAACATATGTAAATTAAAATATGCATTACGTGATTTTTATAAAAATCGAAAGACTTTTCATCATATTTATTATTACATGCAGAAGTAAATTGTAAAATCATAAAATTTTAAGTAACTCAATAAATTCTCTTTTTTGATAATTTGATTGTATATTATAATTTACCACAAAAAATCCTCAGTATTTGTGTCATTTTACTAAAGTACATCATACACTAGCTCGTTAAAATGTTTCCAACTGTTTGTATTTTGTTGAAATTTTACGATTACTTTTTTGCAACTTGTGATAGTTTGCAATGATTATTAAAGAAATTTTTATAAACTGTTTAATTTAAAAAAATTGAGAAAACAGACTAGGATCCCCCCGAAGCTCTTGAATTAATAAATAAAAGTAACGAAAACCGTGTTCCGGGTTTTGTTCCCAGCTCGGTGATTTTAAATTCAATTTATACCGAGTAAAACAATAAGTGTATAAGTAAATGCAAGTGCAACAGTATGCCACGTATTCTCGTATGGCTTCCCAGTTACGGGATTTTTCGTAAATTCTGTTTTTTTTCTTTTTTTTTTTTTTTTCATGAATAATGCAAATTTTATGATTTAACATGGAAAGCAGAAGGCAAGCTGGATTTACGTAAGTCCATTTGAAATTACAATGGCTCGAATAGAAAAAATTGAAAAATTCACCCCAAAAGTCTATATAAGCATGTTCGACACGAGCAGCATCCGCATAAAAAGTTTTTTTTTTCAAATTTTCGCATCGCTTCGTACTTTCCTACAGTTAGCGCTCGTTTTTCGCATCTATACATATACTGGTGTTTACCGCGATAGAAAAATATTATCAAGGTACGTACGACATATACACGTATACAGTCCAACACTATAGTGGCTCATGAAAGTTTGAAAAAAAAAAAAAAAAAAGAAAAGAAAAAGTGTGTCACCGATATCCCGCAAAGAAAAAACATAGCAAATAATTGTGGTCTAATTACCCATCGCAAGTACTCATGCTCATGTTATTATTCCACATGACATACTTTGTCTACTATCATTACATTATATACCAAAGTGTAAATCCCTACACGGAGTTTAGCGTTTGAAATTGCCAGGTAGAGTGTGCACATAGAAAACATTCAAGGTATACATATTCGAAATTTTGTCAGACCTTTGATCTGGCGAAGCGCGACATCGGTAGGCGGTGGAGTATAGCCGTAAACGTTGTTTGTTGGAAAAATTCGTGCGCGCACCGTTTGCTTTGCATATTTTCCATTGTTCTGCGAAAAAGTGACCGATTTCTATAAGTGTGCGAAAAGATTCAGTCAACCATTTTTTGTCGTACGATCCAGCCTATCGCGCCGTTCGAGCCTTACATCTATTTGCCTTCGAGCAATAAATTCATATTATCGTTTTAAGTGTACATTACTTTTCTTTCTCGAAACGGTCACATCACTATACGCTTGTTACACGTTGGTTTTTTTTTTTTTTTTTTTCAAACTATCGAGTTTTCGTTTTGTTGAAACGAAAGAAAAGCGCCACTATTATACGTTGATATTCTTTCCTTTGTTGTGTGTTAATTGCGTAGAAAATCAAATCGGTCAGCGAGAATACGAATTCCGTATAGATAATCCCGATAAGGTAAAGTACATTATAGGGTACGTCAGAGTATTTCATGCGCAATCACCTTACGTCGCGTCTTCATCGTGGCTTCCAACATTGTTTTAAAAATTCGAAAAACGTCTTTCACGTTTCGACAACCACCTTACACTGCCGTTGCGCAAGTGACATTACAAAGTCAAATAGGGTAGTTCTCAGGAAAAAAATCTTGAAAAATATAAATTTACATTCGTTAAACATGTAAAAATTGAAAAAACCGAATGTTTTTCATTGTCTCCGTCGATCCATCCACCTTTTTTTTCCATGACACGGGATTCGCCGTCGGCTGTTCGCAAATAGTCGCAAATACCACAGCACTACGGCAACACGCGCTTTTTTTTTTTTTTTTTTTTTACCCTCCGCCACTGCTTGGGCAATGTACGTACAAATTTCGTCCTTAACAAATTTATTTATACAAATGCGTGATTGACAGGTAACAAGTACTTGAATGAAAAACGAAGAAAAAAAAAAAAGAAAAATGCTTATAAAGTATTTGAGTAGGTATACGCGTTAAAGTCAAACTGACGCTAACGGTTGGTATCTCGAAACCAAATCGACGAGACCTTTTTCGTCAACTAGATACTTTAGTTTCCGCTCAAAAATTTATAAGTAAACGCACAAATGAATGCACGTTTGGGCAAGTGTACGTCCGTTTGTACGTGTGTGTATACGCGCGTGGCCTCTACCGACGATTAAATTTCAATTTTTGATTGACAAGTGGGGGTAACGCTCGGCCGGAATGATGTCGCGGTTATAAAAGACCCTGACCATTCAAATACTCTCATTCTCCGTGGCATCTGTTTTTTTTTTCCACGATTGTTGTTGTTGTTGTTGTTTTTTTTTTTTTTCTCCATCACTCTGGGCCACGGAGAAAGCCAGTGGTGTCCTGCCCACCAGTGGCCGCAGTAGTAGTTTCATAGACTCGTGCTCACCGTAGGTTAACAGTGTGCGTTGACAATTGGACTTTGAGTGACATTTGGTGCCATTATTTCCATTAGAAGGGAACGACAAGCACAACACACCAGACTTTTGGACCAACGAGCAAGTATTGGAAAACTAGACCATGCAGTCGACGAGCGCCACTGCAGACCCGGACGTTCGTCCCCGGAAGTTGGCCCAACAACCCCCGGAGGAGGATATCGTCATAAGCGGCATTGCCGGCCGGTTTCCAGAGTCAAACAACATGAAACAACTCTACCACAATCTCATGTCGAAAAACGATCTCATAACCGATGACGACCGGCGCTGGAAGTTGGGTGAGTCCTCCTTATTTTAGTCCTCCTTTCGCGTAAGACTCTTATTAAAAAAAAAAAAAAAAACCACAGACCACCCAGAAATCCCTCAACGAACGGGCAAAATAAACAAGATCGAAAAGTTCGACTCCCTATTCTTTGGGGTGCACTTCAAGCAGGCCCACACGATGGACCCTATGTGCCGGATGCTGCTGGAGCACGCGTACGAGGCTGTGGTCGATGCCGGGGTCAACCCGCGCACCCTACGAGGCTCCAAGACCGGCGTCTTCATAGGCGCCTGTTTCTCCGAGTCGGAGAAAACCTGGTTCTACGACAAACTACAGGTAGGCCTACTGCCCAACGACCGATGTCCACCTGTGACGTATATTCATTTCACTCGATTGTCCGGTTGGGCGTAGGTCAACGGGTTCGGGATAACCGGCTGCGCCCGGTCCATGCTGTCGAACCGCATCTCGTACTTTTTGGGCATCACCGGGCCCAGTTACACCGTAGACACGGCCTGCAGCTCGAGCCTCTTTGCCCTGGAGCACGCGTACAGAGCGATACGCGAGGGCCTGTGCGACGCGGCGATTGTCGGGGGGGCCAATCTGTGCCTCCATCCCTACGTGTCGATGCAATTTTTCAAATTAGGTGGGTATCGCGTACACTTGTTGCATGAGATGAGACAAGATGGAAACGAGAAATGTGCTCACGTAAGCGATTAGGCGTGTTGTCGGTGGACGGTCGTTGCAAGACCTTCGACGAGGAGGCCAACGGGTACGTGCGCAGCGAGTCCATAGCGGTGATATTCCTGCAAAAGGCCAAGGACGCGAAGCGAGTTTACGCAACGGTCGTCCACGGCAAGATCAACTGCGACGGTTTCAAGGAGCAGGGCGTGACCTTTCCCTCGAGCCACATGCAGGGCGTCCTGCTCAAGGAGTTTTACCTCGAGTGCGGCATTCCCCCGTCGCTGGTCAGTTACATCGAGGCCCACGGCACGGGGACGCGAGTCGGCGATCCCGAGGAGGTCAACGCCATCGACTCGGTGTTCGCGGGAGACGCTCGCGATTCCACGGACCCGCTCCTCATCGGCTCCGTCAAGTCGAACCTCGGCCACAGCGAGCCCGCCAGTGGCCTCGTCTCCATCGCCAAGGTCAGGCCCCGATGATTTTTTTTGTTCTTCTTTTTTCATCCCATCGCGGTCGATCCAACAACTACAAATTATTCAGGTCCTGCTGGCGATGGAGTCGGGGGTCATCCCCCCGAACATAAACTTCAACAGGGCCAAGGAGGAGATCGGTTCGATCAGCGAGGGAAGGATTAAAGTCGTCACGGATGCCACGCCGTGGAAGGGTGAATTCGCCGGCGTGAATTCGTTTGGTTTCGGTGGGGCCAACGCCCATGTACTGCTCAAGAGGAACTCGAAGCAAAAGGTCAACGGGGGCCAGCCCAACGACGACCTGCCTCGATTGGCGGTTGTGTCCGGGCGAACGGAAGACGCAGTCAGCGCCATACTGACCGACGTAAGGGATTTATCATTCATACGCGAACGACCATCAAAACTTGCCACAAAAAAAGGTTGTTGCACAATGATATCGACGTTTCGTTTGCAGCTGGAGAGCAAGCCCGTCGACGTCGAGTACCTGAGGCTGCTGCACGATATACACTCGGACGACATTACCAATCATCTGTACCGGGGCTATACGCTCCTGCCGGCTCATGGAGTCGCTAATTTCCCGACTAGGGAGATCAAACAGGTTTCCGGGACCAAGAGGCCGGTTTGGTTCGTCTTCTCCGGCATGGGGTCGCAGTGGCCGGGAATGGGTACGTTTCCATCTAATACGCGCCACCTCCTCGATTTGTCGTTCATCATGTTCCTCGATCTTTTCCTCCACTTTGTCCCGTAAATCGTAAATATTTCATTTGCAGAGTTGCGCAACGCGCATTACGTATATAATACGATTGACCTTTTGCTTGCTCGCAGGTGAGGCTCTACTGAGAATACCCGTGTTTGCCCAGGCCATTGAAAAATGCGATGCGGCCCTGAAACCACTCGGCATCGATATTTTCCACGTCATTTCGAACAAGGACAAAAAGGCCTTCGACAATATTCTCCATTCATTCGTCGGCATCGCCGCTGTCCAAGTAATTATATTTTCAACAATTATCATTACAATGGTTAACACTGCAATATTATACGCAGTGGATGGCAAAAAAAAAAAAAAAAAAAAAAAAAAAAAAGAAGAAAAACCATTTATACACGCGCAAAAGTGCTTGAAAAACAATTGACTAAAATCGTGCCAAAAGCATGAAATTTCACTGAGAGCTGCTTACAAAAAACGTATTTATAGATCGGTTTAGTAGACGTTCTCCGCTCGCTCGGCATCGAACCGGACAACATAATCGGCCACTCGGTGGGCGAGTTGGGCTGCGCCTACGCGGACGGTTGCTTCACCGCCGAGCAGATGATCCTCGCGGCTTACTCGCGCGGCCTCATCTCCATCGAGACAAAAGTCATCCACGGCTCGATGGCGGCTGTAGGCCTCGGCTACAAAAATTTGAAACCCATTTGCCCGTCGGACATCGAGATTGCCTGCCACAACGCGGCCGACAGCGCGACCATCAGTGGGCCAGCAGAGTCCATGAAGGCTTTCGTTGCCGAGCTCCAGGTGAGACCGGGGATGAAAAAAACAAAAACAAAAAAATGAAAAAACTCGGAGATCGGTTGTCGCACTACAGCGTAACGATGTTTCAGGCAAAGAACATATTCGCGCGGGAGGTGGCGTGCAGCAACATCCCGTACCACAGTCGTTACGTGGCTCCGGCGGGGCCGAGGTTGCTGGCAACCCTCCAAAAATTGGTGCCGTCTCCAAAGCAGCGCAGCTCCAAGTGGCTGAGCACCTCGGTGCCGGTCGACAAGTGGGACAGTCCGGAGGCTCGCTACTCCTCGGCGGAGTACCACACCAACAACCTCCTGGGCTCGGTCCTCTTCGAGGAGGCCTCGGTCTTCATCCCTAAGGACGCCATCGCCATCGAGATAGCGCCCCACGGCCTCCTCCAGGCGATCCTCCGGCGATCGCTCGCCCCGACGGTCGCCAACATACCCCTGACCCAACGGGGCCACGAGGACAACGTCCAGGTGCTACTCCAGGCGCTCGGAAAAATGTACAACTGCGGACTCCAGCCCCAATTGGGTACGAGAAGAACAACATTATTTTGCTATTATTTCTCCTATTCGTTGAGTGTGTTTGAACGGGGCGATGACGATGAATTGCAGCCAACCTGTATCCGGCTGTGGCTTATCCGGTGAGCCGGTCGACGCCGATGATATCGCCGCTTATCCAGTGGGAGCACTCCGAGGACTGGTACGTCACCAACTACAAGTCACAACAGAACAACACCTCCGGCGAGAGGATCGTCAAGGTAGCCCTGACGGATAGTGACTACGAGTCTATGGCTGGCCACGTGATAGATGGGCGCAACTTGTTCCCGGCCACGGGTTACCTGTGGCTGATCTGGCAGACCCTCGGGATGATGCAGGGCGAACTCTACATCGAGATGTCGGTGGTCTTTGAGGACGTCAAGTTCCTCAGGGCCACGCAGTTACCCAAATCCGGGGAGGTCGAGTTCACTCTGATGGTGCAAAAAGGTGAGAGAACATAACATTAGATAACGGTAATCTTTAAAAGCGGCAAATTAACAACGATGAATCCAGGAACCGGTAGATTCGAGGTGGTCGAGGGTGGCGCGGCGGTCGTGACGGGGTTCGTGCGCTCAACCACGACTCCGGCCGCGGAGAAGATCAAGACGACCAGGGCCCCGAGTAACGAGCCAGAGGTCATGTCGTCCCGCGACATCTACAAGGAGCTCAGGATTCGTGGCTATCATTACACGGGCGTGTTTTGCAGCATGAGAAGCTCAACGGCCAACGGCTTGAAGGGCCAGATCGAGTGGTGCAACGACTGGGTCGCCTTCATGGACAACATGCTGCAGATAAAGATACTGGGCACCGACACGCGCGGCCTTTTTGTCCCGACGGGCATCAAAAAACTCATCATCGACACCAGCGCCCACCTCAGCCAGATCAAGTTCGGCGAGCAGGGCAAAAGTAATTGATTTTTCCTTTGACGCATGATAATACATATATATATATATACGATACCAATGCGTACACATGTTAATGATCTTCTGCAGAGTTTCCGGTGTACGTCGACAAACTGAACGACACCATAGTGTCCGGTGGCGTGGAGATACGTGGTCTAAAGTCGAGTGCCATCCCACGTAGGAAGCCGGCCGGCAAGCCGATCCTCGAGGAGTACAAGTTTGTGCCGTTCGTCGACGCCGGCGAAGCTAGCCTGAGGGAGGTCGCCAAGGTCGTCTCTCAAATCGCAGTGGAGAATCACATGGGCATCAAAGTCAAGACCGTGGAACTCATCTCGGAGCCCGACAAAATCTCCCCGAAAGACGTCATATCGCCCTTGATTGTCGAGTCCCTGGAAGACATGCCGCTCATCCAGGCGGAAACCATCATTCTCAGTACCAAGAGCAAGTTCAGCGAGGAGTTTGCCCTGCCCCCGAGTATTTCCATAGTCGATCCGAAAAAGGCCAGCGCGGACGCGAATTCTCTCATGGTCGTTGGCCATCGGCTCTTGACCGACACATTGGCGGACAATTTGGGTTTGTTGCTCCGTGAGGTCAAGCCAAACGGATTCGTACTGACTCGTGAAAACGCAAGCGACGCCAGTAAGTTGGACCAGCTTGCTCAGAGCAGGGACTTGACCGTTGTTCTGGCCAAGAGGCACGAAAGTCACGTGTTCGTTCTTCTGAGAAGGCAGGAAAAGTTGCGAGCCCAAATTTACGTTGTGCACGTCAACAACGAGAAGCTCGACTGGGTCGACGACATGCGCAAGGTCATGGCTGAGGCCCTGAAGAACGAAAATACCGCAAACTCGCGAGTCCTCCTCGTTGGCCAGGGGAACTTTGAAAACGGTACGAGCTCGAACAAACTTACTCTCCGGAGTACTTTTCTTTTCCTTCCTACAACGGTATCGTTACTTCCTAAGGTCTCATGGGCTTGATCAACTGCCTGAAGCTCGAGCCAGGTGGCGAAGTAGTTCGCGCAGTCCTCGTTCAAGATCCGAGGGCTCCGAAATTCGATTTACAAGATCCCCTGTTCGCCAGCCAGGTGAAGAAGGACTTGGTGATAAACGTCCTCCGCGAAAACGGGGCCTGGGGAACTTATCGGCACGTGGCCCTGCCACCGGTCGAACCAAAGCCAGTTCGCTATGGATGGGTCAATCAGGCGGTTCGTGGTGACTTGAGCTCATTAATTTGGCAAGAAGGCCACGTGCAAACGAACAAGGAAGCCAAGAACATCGTCGGCATTTACTACTCCAGCGTCAATTTCAAGTACGAACGTAACCGCAATAACACACATACAGTTTGTATTATCGGAGTTGGGAATCGAAAAACACTCGTACACACATTTTTTTTTTTTCTTCTCCAAAATACCAGGTGTTATTGAAAACTCACTTTTTGATTGTGCCCAACTCAGTTAATATTGACATTTCATTAGGTGGATCAACTGTATCCAATGATATTTTAATTTACTCGTGTTAGGGATGTGATGCTGGCAACGGGGAAACTAGCCGTGGAAGTCGTAGCCAAGACGAGGCTGAGCGCGGAGAGCGTCATCGGCATCGAGTACAGCGGTATCGACAGCTCGGGTAGGCGCGTCATGGGCATGATGGAGAGCCGAGGACTGGCCAATTTGTGCGTCGGAGATCCCGACCTCATGTGGCAAATCCCCGACAACTGGACCCTCGAGGACGCGGCTACCGTCCCCTGCGTCTACGCGACCTGTTACTACGCCCTTTACCAAAATGGTAAGTACAACCAGGTGTACCACCAGGAGTCAAACCATACCTAACGTGGTCGCTGTCGCGTCAACAGGCCAAATGAAAAAGGGCGACAAGGTGCTGATCCACGCGGGTACCGGTGGCGTGGGCCAGGCGGCCATACACCTGGCCCTGTACGAGGGCTGCGAGGTTTTCACGACCGTGGGCACCCCGGAGAAGAGAAAGTTCATCCGCGAGCACTTCCCCCAGATTCCGGACAACCACATCGGCAACTCCCGCGACACCAGCTTCGAGCAGATGATAGCCGAGCAGACGGATGGCCAAGGCGTGGACATCGTTCTCAACAGTCTCGCGGAGGAAAAGCTTCTGGCGTCGGTGAACTGCCTGGCTTGGGGTGGACGCTTTTTGGAAATCGGCAAGTTCGACCTGTCGGCCGACAATCCCCTGGGCATGGAGTGTTTCCTGCGCGAAATCAGCTTCAAGGGCATACACCTGGATCGCGTCATGACCGCGGACAGCCGGGCCAAGCGAGAGTTGCAGATGCTCATGGCCCCGGGGCTCAAGAATGGCGCGATCAAACCACTGGTCAGGTAATAATCCCAACTATGTTGCGCCATTCATTTTGTAGTTTACAACACACATCTAATGATGGCGTCTCCGAAGGACCGTCTTCCCGAAAGACCACGTAGAGACGGCTTTCCGGTACATGGCGGCTGGTAAACACATGGGCAAGGTAATCATCAAAGTAAGGGAGGAAAAGGAGCCAATAGATACACCGATATCGGCCTATCCGCGTTACTACTGCCTCGCCGATCGGAGCTACGTAATTTTAGGTGGCCTCGGCGGATTTGGCCTCGAACTAGGTACGTACACCCCGTATAATGTATCATGTATACAGTGTCACACGAGCAAAAGCTATGGAAACTGTTTTTTTCCACAGCTGACTGGTTGGTCTTGCGAGGAGCAAGGAATTTAGTCCTGACGTCCCGAAGCGGGATAAAAAATGGCTTTCAAACGATGCGCATCGAGATATGGAAGAGTTACGGGGTCCGGGTGAGCGTGGTAGCCGGGAAGGACGCCTCCGTGCCGAAGGATTGCCAGTCCATCCTGGAGACCGCCGCTGGCCTTGGCCCTGTGGACGGGATATTTAATTTGGCGGTCGTGCTCAACGACTCGCTGTGGGAGAGCCAGACGCAAGAATCCTTCCGGGAGTCGTTGCGGACAAAGGCTTGGGCAACCAAAAATTTGGACGCGCTTTCGCGCAAGCTGTGCCCCGGGCTCAGGCACTTTGTCGTCTTTTCGTCGGTATCTTGCGGAAGGGGCAACGCCGGCCAATCAAACTACGGGATGTCCAACTCCGTGAGAATACAATGATTACAATAATCATACACAACCTTGATGAGCCATGATATTCATGACGTGACTTGTACAGGTGATGGAGCGAATCTGCGAGAGACGCGCGTCCGAGGGCTACCCGGCACTTGCGGTCCAATGGGGCGCCGTGGGCGACGTGGGTCTCGTCGCGGAGATGCAGATGGACCACAAGGAATTGGTCATCGGCGGGACCCTCCAGCAGGGCATATTCTCTTGCCTGCACGAGCTCGACGGGCTGATGCAGCAGAAACGAGCCGTCGTGTCCAGCATGGTGGTGGCCGAGAAGAAGACCAGCGGATCCGGCGTCCTCAGCATCACCGACACGGTTCTCAACATCATGGGTAAGGCGTTTTTCCCACCCCCCCCCCCCCCATTCATCAGTAGTATTTTATTGCGTGCGCTCGCGTTTTACCAACAGGTCTCAAGGACTTGAAGGGCGTGAGTCCGAACGCCTCGCTGGCCGAGCTGGGGATGGACTCGATGATGTCCGTGGAGATCAAGCAGACCCTCGAGCGCGAGTTCGACGTTTTCCTCACGGCCCAGGACATTCGGGGCTTGAACTTTGCCAAATTGCAGGAGATGACCGTGGAGGCGGAGAACGCCCAGCAACAGCAGTTAAACACGACCTCGGGCGAGGTGGGGCCCGACGCGGAGCAGCAGGTAAACCTGAGGCCAGCGTCGCGTCTACTCGGCGACGGCAACGTCAGCCTCGAGACGTGCGTCAGGCTACTGACTAAGGAGGAGTCGGACAGGAGCGAGATCTTCCTGATACCCGGTGTCGAGGGTTTTGCTTCCGTGTTCATGAGCTTGGCCTCGAAAATTCGGGCGCCCGCCACTTGTCTGCAACTGGAGATCAACAACGATTGCCAGAGCATCGCCTGCATGAGTGACCTGTTGTTGCCGGTGAGCTCGCGTACACCTACATATATATATATATCGACCTTGATTGTCAATCCCAAATGATGGTAAAAAAAAAAATATAAACTTTTTGGTCGTAGCACGTGCTGGAGAGGAGCAAAAATCGCCAGGACTTCACTCTGGTGGGTTACTCCTACGGGAGTCTGTTGGCGATAGAGTTGGCGAGACGACTGGAGGAGCGAGGCCTCGCCGGGCAATTGATCCTGATTGACGGTGCCCCGGAGCCGGTCAAACTCATGCAAAAGTGCTACACGCACAACAACAGCGACCAAGAGTTGCAAACCAAAGCCATACTGGACATCATCCTTGTTCTGTCTCCGGCCCACGCTTCTAACGTACCTAAATGCATTTTTTTTTTTTTTTTTTTTCTTTTCATTTACAATTCTTCAACACGTAACATAAAAATGATGGATTTTCAGTTAAAAACGGCACTAGAAAAGTGCCAAAAGTGGGAGGAAAAGGTGGAGGCTCTAGTGCAGATTTACCCACCCTCGAGGCTCAACATGTCGGACGAGAACTTCCGAAATCTCTGCAAGTCCCTGTACAACCGGATAATTGCTCTGCAAACCTACAGCACGTCAAACATGTCGCCGATCAGAGCGCCGATCACTCTGTTGAAGCCAACGATTCCTAGTATTCAGTACGACGCTGATGATTACGGTCTATCTCAGGTATAACGCGATGATGATGATGATTATTATTTGGCGGGTGCAAATGATGCGTTCGAGGGAATCATTGGTACATGTTGAATTTGATTATTAAACGACGTTTCAGGTAACGAAGAGCAAAGTGAGCGTGTACACCGTGCCGGGTAATCACGTGACAATGCTGGACAATGAGAGGATTGCGAGCGTAATCAATGGATGCGACGTTGAGGACACGAATGCATTCAAGGCCGAAATATTAGGAAAAAGTAAAAAGCTATGAAAAATAATAACGCCCACTTGATCATCAGAACAATGATGGAAATATATAGTGTACATTCGTCGCCCGATGTTGGAACTTTGCACGTTCAAATTTTCCACCAATGTATTTCTCTTAACGTTTAATTAACTAATCCCTAGTTTGTAGTGTGTAAATGATCAATAATCATATGTGTATGATTAAACACGCGGATTTCCTTTTACTTGTGTTACATACTATAACCGCCATATATTACGCACACCCAAGTGCAACCAAACACTTTTAAACTTGAAGGTTCCAATTGCGCATTATAAATGTGAATAATCATTTCATTTGAATAAAGCCAACTTGAGTAAAATCTCACAATTGTTTTAATTTGAGTGCAGTGTATCATTTATTACTTGTGACCGTACATGATTTAAATAATTCACAATGTTCACATTCAAAAATGAAAATGATGCGAATACAATGGAAATAATAAATAAAAACAAATTCTTCAGCTCAAGAAACTCTTTTTCAAATACCTTGACGTTACTCTATATACTCTCGCGTCACAGAGCCCGCCCACACTCATATACTTTTGGCAGCCGCGGCGTGGTAACAATTGTGGGCGGGGCGAATCACTGGCTGTCCACTCCCTATTACATAGACATAGCCATAAGTGAGTGTACTATGTGTGGTGTTACACAGTCACGCGCTTTGCCTGTCTGTACCCACCAAAGAGCCCCTGGCAATCAAATTATTTCCTGATTTTATTCCACAATAGTTCTTTTTTTTTTTTTTTTGTTAATTATGTTACTTCGTTACGTAGTGGAGTCGTGAAATCATACTGAAAATTAAATTGGAATACATTCAAACTTATTGGATAACTTTTGCAACTAATCTCGCAATATCTATTTGTTTTTATGTTGGAGACCCGAAGAGTTGGAAAATAATGTTAAGTAAAATAAAAAACATATATGAGAGTAAACTGAAATGCGGCTGCACGAATTTACGGAAAGGTATAGACTGGTCCCAAAGAAAACAAACGAGAAACGGAGCTTATCGACTATGGGGCCTTAATATGTGGCGCGTGACGCCTCATTCTTATACATTTTTAACAAAACTTGATTAATGTTTGTATATGCTAACGTATGGTATGAGTATTGCCTTAGTTATTTACGTGACTAGTACAGAAAAGACAGTTTCCCACGCGAGTAGCGATAATGAAGCTCGCAAGGATGGCTGAAGACCTCGATAGAACGAAGGATACGAGATACGAGTGCGTGACGTTGCCACGATGTGCGTAAAACAGTGAACAAAATACCTATTTTCTACTACTGTTACAAAACACCACAATGAAGCATATATCAAGACTCCATTTTCGGTTCGATCGAAACAAAAAAAATTGGACTGGTAAAGCTAAACAGTCCAAAGTTGCACTACCAGTTAGTGTTGATGAAAAATCATATAAATCTTCAAGTTATCATGTTTTATTACGCAATAGGCTGCTTTTACGTTTGTTTGGCTGTAAATAGTACAAACCTTCACTGACAATGTAAGCGCAAACATATTTTCTCGTGCCTACTAGTTTTAAGAGAGATAATCGAGTGGAGTCCCGCAATAGAAGCAGAGTTTTGTGTATCAAAAAGAATACGTCATTCGGAAAAACCTGATAACCCTGGATTTCAATCAATATTTCACAGATGCAATGATTTGAGCTTATTTTCAACAACATCAAGCGCGATTGTAGACATTTGTTTTTTAATACTAACATAACAGTCGTTAAAAAGGGAGCATCAATAAATTTTACCCCGTAGTATGCAACATACGAAAAGAGCAATAAAACGAGGGCAGTGGGTATACCGAGCTTCCACGTAGCAAACGAGCGCGGAGCGTATACTAAACTTACTCTCACTCTGAAAGAATAATTAAGTAAGTTGGGCATGTAAATCGAGCTGTATGTAAGATTGCAAGAGCACGATTCCCCCTGTGTCGTGAAGATGCTCATTGCGCATTTAACGCAAATAATGCTCCGCGTCTAGGTAATGGTTTTGCCAACTCTTTCAACTAAAAATATGGCAAAAATGATTTTTTTTTTTTTTAATTATTGTGCCGTGTAATTATCAAAATTTTTTTGAATTTATAATTGTAATTTTTACATAACAGAAATTTGGACAAAAAAGAAAAAAAAGCTTTTTTTTGAT